TATAAAAACTCATTAAAATTGATTAAAATTCATGAAAATTGATTCGGGTTTTTGAAAAATTTAAATACAAATAGATAACAAGTAAATAGACTTACAATTAATAAAACTGATTAAATTTTAATTCGTTAATTCATGAAAATTGATAAATTAATTTAAAACTAACTCCAATTAATGAAAATTAAACAAGTAAGTTTACATGAAGTAACACCAATTTTAAATTATTTACTAAATCTTAATTTAATAATTAAACGTAAAAAAAATACTTAACATTTATTCAAAATTGACGTTAACAATTAAAATTCAATTTAAGTAAACCTAATCAAAGACATTAAGATCATTAAATCAATTTTAAAACCAATGAAATTATTTAATTTAAAAAATATTAGCAAAAATTAAAAAAACTTTGCTTTAAATTAGAAAATTTTATTTAAAATTCATTTTTAATTTATTTTCAAACTAATTAAGTGTAAAAAAAAATAATTCAAAATTAATAAAAGTCATCAATTCATAAAAGGGCTAAGATTGACAAAAAATTGATTTTTAAGTATTTTTAATAAGGTTAATTACTTTACTTGATTTTATTAATGTTTACTTTGAATTTTAGTTTACTTAATTTGAATTAGCATAATAATATTAATAATGCAATTAGTTTTTTCGTAATTTTAATTAGTTTTTGTACTAAGTTGCATTATTTTACGCAAATATTTTTAAATCATCTGAAGTAATGTGGAATTAGTCTTTACAATCATTTTTAGTAAGTTTGATTATATTTTCATTAAAAACTTAATTAGTTAATTTTAATTAAATTGAAAGTGATTTTTAATGAAATGTAAAAAAATAATAAATGAAAATGAATTTTAAATTAATGTTAATTAATTAATTTTAGTTTTAGTTGGTTTTGATGAATTTTTCAAAATTAATTCAATTATTTTTGAGAATTTGTATTTGTTTAGCTAGCTTTTTCAATGTTTAATTATATTTATTTGTTGACGATTTTTTCTTGAATCTTTTTTTGTTTATTAATGATTTTTTGTAATATTTTTAATTATAATCTTGACTAGTTTTACGGTAGTATTAATTACTTCTAATTAATAATTGCCTAATTTTGAATCATTCAATGAAACTTCGTGAATTCTATTTAATTTTGCTTTGATTTAACTTTAACTAATTTTGTTAATTTTAACTACTCTCAAACAATTTTGCAGCTAGAGCCCAGCTAGAGTGCTCGAGAACCGAACGGCCAGCCTTCGCATCACTCCCACTTTGGGGTGCGCCGTCCTCCTTCTTCCTGTCTTCCTGTACCTCCTTCCTGCTCTTTCATCGCAACTGGCTCCTCAGGCAGCCGGCGCCGTGACCGACAAACAGTTTCAGCGTGTTTCAGCCCAAAGCCGATCCTTCGCCGTGAAGAGGAAATCCATAACCTGAGCAGCGAGCAGTATAAATCTTTCGTTCCATAGATTGCCACGGCGCCTCTACCCTTGATCCGGGCCCGCCGCGGCTTGTAGAGCTGGAAGTGCCGCGGCCAGCAGAAGGCGGAATTCCGAATGCCTTGAGCCAAATCACGCATAGCAACAGTGGCTATGAGAGGAGCTTCAGCCCCCGCAGCTGCACGGCCTCAGAGCCGCTGTGATCGTGACGAGAACGCTTGGCTAAGCATAGCTCGTCGGACGACACTTTTGTTTGGAAATGTTGGCAGCGAGCTTAACAGGTGAAGTTCATGTGAGTGATGCAATGATGCCCTCGTTTCAAGGGCCCAAGGAGGCCTCAGAGCTCAACAGATTGAAACTTCTTCTGAACTCGCAGGTGAGCTCAAGAGACCTGAAAGCCGAGGCTGAGCTGTCAAGCTGGATGAGAACTTCGACACAAAGGTCGGATCTCTAAACGGCCACGTGCCATCCCACAGCATTGGCATAGTTGAAGTGGCATAGGGGTTCTGGTTTGGAATCTTCCCAGCTCCCCCCCGCCGACAAAGCACAAGGATAAGCTTGAAGAGCCCTGAATCACTGAATAACAACAGGTTTCGGTTTTAACATTACATTCTTGGGCCTTCTTGGGGTTTCTTCATTGAGCAAAATCCGTATCTGGTTGTCTGACGCAGAGCTGCGAGTGGCAATGCGCCGTGAAACCTTTATAGGCAACCTGACTGAAGCCAGGCAGCAAATCTGCAACTAAATCACTGACCTCCGCCTCCTTAGCTGCAACTCGAACGCAAGAACTCAGTATGGCAGCCCACTAAACTTCGATGCAAAGGGCCAGCAAAAGCATCAACCCTCGTTCCTGCCATCTCCTGCATGGTTTTCTATTATGGTTTTGAGCCTTCCCAATGAATATGATAAAACTTATTTAAAGATGAATACAAGAAAAGCATTGTGTAAAATTATTGCAAATCAATGATTTTCCCGAATGCTCCGCAGAAGGGTTCGCGTTTTAAAGTTGGGGGTCTGGGGGTTGGGAGGTTACCAAACGTCGTTGCGCTGTGTTCGCCAGGCGTCCGGAAAGCGTTCGCCAAGTCGCAAGCGTCCGCAAAGCGTCCGCGAAGCGTCCGCGAGTGGCGTCACGCGTGCTGTTAAGGGGAACTGCACAGGACGTGTGTCCCCGCAGCGTTCCGAATGCGTCAAGCTAAGGGGGAACTGCGCAGGACGCGTGTCCCCCACGGTGTTCCGAATCCATCAAGCTAAGGGGGAACTCCACAGGGCACGCGTCCCCGCGGCGTTCCACGTGGCGTTCCGCGGCGTTCCGAATCCGTCAAGCTAAGGAAGAACTCCGCACGGTGGTGGTCTCGTGTCGTCTCGTGGTGGTGGTCCCGGGTGGTGGTGGTCATGGGTGGTGGTGGTGGTCGCATGGTGGCGGTTTCATTGCTGTCCCATGCTGCATGGTGGTGGTTGTGGTGGGGGTGGTCCCGTGGTGGTGGTCCCGTGGTGTGGTCCCGTGGTGGTGCTCCGTGTGGTCCGTGGTGGTGGTCCGCGGTGGTGGTCCGCGGTGGTGGTCCGTGGTGGGTGGTGGTCCGTGGCGGCGGTCTGTGGTGGTGGTCCGTGGCCGCGGTCCGTGTTGGTAGCTCCGTGGTGGTGGTCCGTGGCGTGGTGGTCTCGTGGTGGGATGTTGGGTGGGTGGGGTGCGGGTGGGTGGGGTGTGGGTGGTCCGTGGTGGTGGTGGTGGTGGTGGAACTTGTAGCGGTGCCTGGTGGCGGTGGTGGTGGTGGTGCCTAGTGGCGGTGGTGGTGGTGGTGGCGGTGGTGGTGAAGGCCGTGGTGGTGGCGGTGGTGGTGCCTGGTGGCGGTGCTACTTGGTGATGGTGGTGGCACCTGGTGGGGTGTGGGTGCGTGGGGTGGGATGTGGGTGGGTGGGTGGGTGGGTGTGGGTAGGTGAATGTGGGTGGGTGGGTGTGGGGTGGGTGAAGTGGGATGTGGGTGGGTGGGGTGAGGGTTGGTGGTTATAGGTGACTGTTTTCTGCATTCGGGTTCGTGGCTCCTATCAGGTTTTAACGAGTAAAAATGACTAAAATTGACTAAAAAATCGGAATTAATGAACACTTAACAATCTTTCTTTAATTTTAATACATTCCAACTATTTCTATTTATTCTAAGTTAATTTTAAGGAAATTTTATTCATTCGAATTTTTTCTTTTGTTTTAAATAATTTTGATTCATTTCATTTTTTTCAAGAAAATCTTGAATTGATTTTTTGTTTACATTAGTTTATCATGACTTTCAATTCTTTTATTTTAAATTGTTTTGAAGCAAGTTCTATTTCATTTTCACTAATTTTAACTTATTCTAATTAATGTCAATAATTTTAATTATCTCAGTTGTAATCTATTTGAAGTGATTTTTAAGAATTTCATTAATCGGGAAGATCTAGGCCAAACGTTGAGGTCGCTCCGAGCATTTTCGTCCTGACGAATCATGGGGCCATGGTTGCACTTCCAAGCTTCCAAGCCATGGCAGTCAAAAGCTGAAACACATGAGAACGTTTGAGGCTGAAGCTTGGCCTGGACGAACCTACTCTAGGCAAACGAATGCATGAAATGAACTGGCATGAGTTTGGCTCATTGCTTACAGAACGCCCGACACTGGACTGCATCGTCGACCAGGTCAGGAAAGGTCCCTTTGAAGTTCTTTCAGTTACACCGGCTCTTGAATTTTCAGACTCTGAATGGGAGGAAGAACCAACGTGGAGCCGATCCGGATTATGCCCAGTGACGAAGATCAGAGTAGGAGATTTTCCCCGCGCTTAGCCGTCGAGAATGCCAAAGGACCTCCTGTCAGGTCTTGAAAGCTTCGAGCACACATAAACTGCAGTCAGCACTCGTGCAATTAGCAGCTTAGCATCCCTTGCGATGAAAGTTTGAAAGCAAGCGCGCGAATGCTGCACAACCTTCAGAACTGGAAAGCAAAGAGCCATGCAACTTCTGGAAAACCATGTCTAAGAACACGGTCAAAAGCAGCGCACAATGGAGGCCAGGCGGAATGCTGCACGAGACCTATGCCCACCTAAACCCCTAAAATGCCCGAAGGCCCCGCAGCCTGGTGGAGTGTCTTCCCTTTTTGGGGTTGCTACACCCGTACAGTCCGTACATGTCCTTACATCCCTTCTGCCACTGGCTGAAACCAATGATGCCCTCGGCCTCGATTTGCGGCGAGCCCCCTGCTGCGCTGGGAGCCTCGATGGTGACTCCCAGCTCGTGCAGCCTTGTGGAGGCATCGCGGGGACGCTGGAGGCTCGGGGGTTGAAGCTTCTGTAGGCATCACATTTGTACCTATGTTGAGCTTTAGAGACTTTAGTAATTTAGAGCTTCCAGATGTTCAACCCCAGTCTGACAGGTTAGCCGCGGGGAGACGAACACAGCTTAAGCCCCAGCTCTTGGGTCAAGTGGGAATACACCGGAACGAGCTGTAGCTGCGCTAAAGAAGCTCGGGAGGGCGGTGCGCCTGACCCGCTTGAAGAGCGGCATGGCGCCCAGGACGTAGTCTTCGTTCACTCCAGGGGCCTGTTTTCAGCGCTTCAGATCGCAGCTGCCATGCTGACACAACGTGGACTCCCGAATTCAAAAGTGCTCCCTCGCATAATGTGCAGTTGAGCATCCGGGTCATAGAGGCCCAGTGCACTCAAGACGTACCAGGAGCCCATCTCTCCATTGTCCTCATCGCCCGCGTACCCATCTGGAGAGTATGCTTGCGCGAGGATCTGACGCACCTGCGCAAACATCGCAGGACCGGATGACATGTTGAGGGCAACGCAGTCCGGGAGTAGGGGGACCTCTTAAGGCATTCTGACATAGGAGCTTGCGGCCAAGCAACTAGCTTCGCAGTGGCATTGTGCATGCCAAGCATCGCAAACAAGTACCTTAGATCTGCTTTGGCTTTAGAAGCGAAACGCTCAGAAGCGAAGCAACTTGCATTGTTGCGTGGTTCCGCCGTGCTGGGCTGCAGAATCATTTGGACCACACACAAGGAGCTGTCCAGAAAACTGCAGACCCTTCCTGTTTGGATTCAAAGCAAGGCGCGGCACGTGATGAACTGGCTGATTGTTGTGCGCGTACTGGCCTCGTCGGCTCGGAAAGACACTTGCAAAGAAGGGTACAAGGAGCGAGCGAGGCGGTGAGAGAGAGCTCAAGGAGGAAAGGAAGAGGACGCGATCGATGAAGGGAAAGGAACAACAACAAGTACCCCAAGTACCGGAGGCGAGAGGAAGCTGCTGCCCAAGTCGCCCATGCCGAGATCCAGCATCTCGCGCATCTCGTGGATTACAGCCTTGCGCAAGGATCTAAGACATGGCTGGGACATGGCTTCATGCTGTCTGGGCGTAGGGTTGAGGGTTTTGCAAGGTTTTTAGTTTGCTGCAAGTTTGTAGCTCTGGGCGGCTTGTCTCCTTGTGCGGAGAATGTGAAGCCCTAGGCCTGGTAGGAGCCGGTCTCGAAATAGGCCGGTACTCGGAACATGTCTTCCAGCTTCTGAAGGAGCTGCCCCGGACCACCGTGCAGCTCCTCAGGGTTGTTCTCAAACGAAGAGAACCCCCCGGGGTCTCTCTCTCTCTCTCTCTCTCTCTCTCTCTCTGCTGTGGAAAACTCGGGGGAAAAACAAACCTATCTCGGTGCTCTTCGAGGAGCAACGAGCAGCTCGAGGTCGAAGGGCGGAAATGAGTGCTGCCATGCGGAGCCCTGAGAGGAGCAAAAAGGGGCGCAGCTTTGGGGGGGGGGGGGCATCGCTCTTCTCTTCGTATCTTCCTCTCTCTGAGCAGCTTTCGGTGTGCATCCCCCAAGCACCTCTGTGTAGCAGAAGCCCCAAGTCTCTGGGGACATCTCCACAAAATCCTGCGCCAGGTGCAGCCTGCTTTAGCTTGGAAGAAAAGAAGCTCTGTCCCGAGGCGGGGTTCTTAAGACGTGCCTTGTAGCGTTGCTTGCCTTACACAGAAGAGCAGCTGGGATTCAAGGAAGTGGCATGCACAGCGCAGAGGATTCGGATGCGCAGGCAGTGCGGCGAACCATTGTTTGGGCACGTTTCGGCCAATACCACCCTAAACCCTAAACCCTACACCCTAGACCCTAAACCCTAAGCCCTAAACCCTAAACCCTAACCGTAATACCCACCCAATCCAATACCCATAAGCTGCTGATGTCCGACTACAGCTGTCCTGGGTCTGCTTCGGGCGGCCCATGAGGCCACGCCGGGGATCGTACATGCGCCGCAGGGCCTGCCGCAGTCTGCAAGGGCTAGGTGTGCAAAATGTCTTGGAATTCCAAGCTCTTGGTTAGAACTTTTCCCCAAGCTTTCTTTGAGGTGGTACTCGTGAAGAGCTTCTTTGCCATGATCTGCCGCTTCTCCCTTCCTGTGTCGGATCCAAGCTGTGCCTTCCCTGCTTCTACTTAACGTTCACTTGGCCCTTCCGCCACGTTGTTGAGAAGACTGGTAGAAGAGAACAGCTCATGTTGATCTTAATGAAATCTACGTGTTCTCCAGTGGTTTTGGAAGGTCTCTTCGCTGACTTCCACGAATCGGCTGCGAGCGCAAAGGGGGATGAACCCAAGATGCCTCGCCAGGTGAGGCCCGGTTCTAACAGATCTTCTGTGACATGGTCTTCATATCTCGTGAAGTGGCCCTGGCAGCTTGTGATGTTTCCCTGGGCATTTCGGGTAGTTCGGTTCTTGGCATTTCCTCCTGGTTCGCGACAATTACTCAGTTGGTTCGTGCTATGGCTTCAGGTGCGTGACACGGCTGCTGTACACCGTTAGGGTTGTGATATGGCCCCCGTCTACACCAAGACAGGCTGCATGCAGCGCGGTGTCAAGCGTGCTTTGACTCCGTCTCAGTCCTTGCGCCTTAAGATCACGCCTGACATGGATCTCTATAGAAGAAGGACTGAACTCTGAAAGAAAAGACTGCGTACTCAAGATCTCAAAGACTGCTACGGCAGACAACTCCGAACCCAGTTCTGAGTTTCAAGATGCAAACATACGGGACCTGTCACATTGCCGGGCGCAGGCTAAGATTTTGAGATAAGGGGTACGCTTGCTGCTCGGCGCCGAAAAACTGCAAGGCATTCTGTGTCAGGAGGTTTCCTATCTTTCGACGGGAACTATAGCGTCCGCGTAGTGCGCTTGGTAAACAGCATAACCCTTTGCACACACCCCGCAAAAACGCCGCTGTACCGGCATATAAGGGGAAGGACCCTGTGCGTTGCGCACCCGGTACGTTTTGGTGTGTGAAACTGCTTAAAGCAGCTTGCGGTTGGGGCTGGAGGGGTTTCCAGTACCATCTGCAAGCAACAGACCCCCTTCTCTTCTTCTTTCCGACGCCCATGGCTCCCCCCAGTGGCCAGGTGACTTCCCTTCTGCCCCTCGCTTTGCTTCGCTCTCTCTCTCTCTCTCTTTTTTCTTGCTCTCCGATGTCTTGCACAACTCTAGCAGCTCTAGCACGTGATCATGAGCTCCGCTTTGACTGTGCGCCTGCCGGCTTCGTAGCCTGAGCTCCGTGGCCTGCGCCAGAGGAGGTCAGCTCAAACCACTCGCTGGAGCTTGCAAAATTTGCAAAAGCCTCCTGGAGCTTCCCCAGGCGCTGCGCTGCAGCCGCACAGGCGGCGTCCGCAAAGGCAAAGTCCAAGGTGCGCGAGCAGGCTTCAGCGATGCCGACGTCGACCGGGACGAAGCCATGCTCCTGCGACCCCCCGAGACTGGCAATCTAGTATCTAGTGACTCTAGTTGCAGCAATCACAAGCATCCAAAGGACAGCAGCCTTGTAGTGCGCCAAGCCTGTCTTTCCGCGCGAGGTATCGGCTGTGTATTCCTCCATAATTCAAATCCGCAGGCTCATAGAAAACAACTCAAGCCATGGGCACAGAAAGCCGGTGGACGGCAGGTTTGCGGGCGCAGGTGTTGCCCGGGACCCCCCCCCCACTCTCTTTCCTGTGCCTATCCACCATGTCTGGTCTCACACACCCTCCAGGTCTCGCAGTTTCCCGGCTGAGCCGGAAGCATGTGTCACCTCGCGTCAGTTAGTCATGCCTGTCCCCCATCTGGTCCTCCAAGGCCCCTGCAACTTTTTTCACTGCGAAAGAATTGGGCCGAATGCACCCAGCCTCCATACACTCCTCCCTTCGCCCGTCACTTGACCCTTCCACGCCCCTCAATTCGTTTTCCACCGCTCGTTTCGACTCTGCCCCTGACTAGTCCAAAATCTTACCGCCTCCAAAAAGATCCCCCACAGTCTTCTTGACGCACACACGCTAGGCTCACGTAATTCACGCGACCTCTCTGTTGCCGATCATGCGAATCGTGTGCAATCCCTTCACAATGGGCGCCTCGTACGCATCCCTGTGCAAGGCTTTCCACGCCAAATCCTGATCGAAGCCTGGCGAGGCATCACCGAGGCCACCGAAAAGACTTCAGATTTAAGCTGGGGCTTTTGAGGCTTTGAACATCAACTTCAAAACCTTGGCAGTCAGCCTGAGATGTTCTTGACAATGGCGTCAGCCAGCACCACATCAGCGTAAGTGCCTACCTCGCGCAAAGGCGACAGACGAGCTAACAGATTCACGTATCTAGGTCTGTGTGTATGCAGTATGTAGGGAAGTAGGTGTGCATGTGTGCCGGCAGTGCCCAGTTTCCGCCGCTTTACACGCAGCATCAACATGAAGTTTTGTTTCCTCAATGCCGTTGTCCATGGCGATGTTGGCTCCGCGCAAGCGATTGCGCACCACGCAGAAGAACAGAGCTACATCTTTTTGAGTTGCGTAAGATCAACAGAAAGCTTGGCGCAATGGAAAAGATTTGTACAGCAGGTAACACTCCACTAGCTTTCCTCCTACATCATCAACATCTGCTTTCCTCCAATACTCCTTCTTTACTCCAGTATCGGAGTAAGTACAAGTGTGCTGTCACTTACCAAACCAGTTCGGGCCGAGGGTGTACACATGGGTACCGATTTCAAGCCACGATTTCCGTCAAGTGGGACGAAACGGTTTGGTTCAATGTTGTCCTCGTCGGACCGAGTCGTACAGGCTTCGAAAAGTTCCGGTCCGATTGCCAGTCGGCCTGAAAAAACTCCTTGTTCCTCGGACTAAAGAGCCGGGCGCCGCTATGGCTGGCTCATCAAACTGTCTTGTGGCTTGTAGTATCAACAGATTCTGGATCCGCTAATGTCAACTTGAATCTGTCGACAAGCAGAAGGGCAGGGCTTTTCAGCACTTCCTGTTCAACGAAGCTGGATGCTGCTGTAGACGGAGGGAAATCACGACATGCGTTGTGGGCATGACTGGCAGGAAGCGAGCTGTTAGCCAGGTGACGAGAGTTTTGCAATCACCGCATCAGAGCTCCGCAGAAAATTGCCAGCAGCACATTGGTTGTGCGGCGACTCCAAGGCATGACCAGACTGTGCCGGGCAGTGCGTGTGCGAATGCGCGTGGATGCATGCACGTGCGTAGGCGTACGCAGGTATGTAGCTTGTAGGTAGATAGTACGTACGTACGACTATGTCTACGGCACACAAGTTCAAGCGGCCATCATATCCCGGTAGCCAGGTGAAGCCCATTTGGGCAGCCAGCCCCCAGCCTGCAACTTTCGAAGTCACAGACTCTGCGATGTTCAATTCTGGTGCAACCAGCCCGGGCCCCAAAACCCACGCGGTTCCCGGAGGCCTTGAAAGCATTCACCAACCTTGCAGAATCGTGGACAGCGCCGTAGGGTATGCGATGGACAGGAACGGGTACACCTCAGACTCAGCCGGCCAACCGTCATCTGTTTCTCGAGATTTGCATCGATGTATATATATATATATATATATAATATAATAGTATAGTATATATATATATGTATTATATATACTATACACACAACAAACATATATTACTCTGAGATACTCCGGTACGTCACAGAAGGCATCCGGACAGAACAGAAGGCAGGGTGCTGTTCGAAAAGTGTCCCAGAAGCCATTGTCACTGACTCCGATACCGTCAACAACTGATGATCCACTGTATGGGCTCCAATGCTGCACGCCTGACAGGGGAAACTTCGGGGGAACCCAGAACGACCCAGAACCAGTACACCGAGTACACACTGAGTACACACTGAGTGACACTGAGTGACCAGTAAAGAACCCCAACCCCCCCCCCTCCTCCCCCCCCCCTCCCCGCTGCCCTGCGCCTCTCGGAGTCGCTTCGTCCAATCGCCGTGGGAAGAGGGGGCCGGTACAAAGAGGAGTAAAAGATCTCGAGGCGCCTTGCAACGTTGCAACGTTGCAGAGTCTGGTGGACTAGGAGACTGAGGAGAGAGCTCTCTGCCGGTTTTTTCCCTTTAGGGGTTCCAAGTAAGGAGATTCAGGAGGGCTTGAGAACAGTTTGAGAAGTCTAGACTCGACTGGTCTGGAGGGTTTAGAGCTGAGCTGAGCAAAGAAGTGTGCAACTGGCCTGAAGGTCTCTGCCGTGGGGGGACCTGCCTCCAGCACTGGCATTGCACAAAATAATCCCGGGGAGTGCTTTGAACTATAAGAGGCCCTTGCGAAAACTCTCAACTTAACAAGGGTCAAAAGAGATGGCTGTAGCATCCTAAGAATGGCGACATAGTAGGCAAGGGAACTCAATATGAAGGATTGCTTAAGTAATCATACTAGAGACCCACTCCTACAATTGGTCATGACAGACAGCAAACCTTGAATTCGCAAAATATGCGTGAGATGGTAGGTAGCATGGACTATGTTTTCTGAGTTTCGTGCTATTTCCGAATATTCTTGCCTCCCTCCCCCCCCCCCCCCCCTCCCCCCCCCCCCACCACTAGCCTTTCCCACTCCTCACCACCCCCCCCCTTTCCCCCCCCCCTCCAGGCCGTCCCCACCCCCCCCCACCAACACAGCTCAGTCTAACCACGAAGGCATAACCAATACATGAAAAAGACGCCTCAAAGAACTATGAGAAGCCGTCCCCGAAGCTCTGAGTCCCCCAAGCCTCCCCAGAGGTCCGGCCACTTTCGGGGCCTAAATCTTCTCAGCAACCCAGGCCCCAAACCCAAACAATCCCAAAACCACAAATACCATACACATGCCCCTAAACCCGGCCGAAACCCCCAAAACCCCAAGCAAAGCCCGAAAGCCAAGCGCCTCTACACGTCCGAGTTCTCTCTGCCAGGCGCTGCGTGCTGCCGAAACGAGGGCGTCGAAGGGAACGTTGGCCTGCGCAATCGAGTGGCTTTAAAGAGCCCTGGAATCGAATAGCACGCGTCTCCTGCTCTACCGTACCAACTGCACACGCGACGTCCCTGAAGTCCCTGAGGGGTTTGGGTTTAGGGTTTAGGGCCTAGGGTTTACGGCTTAAGCTTAGGGCTTCAAATAAAAATAGAACTGCAATCCTACCCCCCCCCATGAACACTACAAACCCTACAGGTTTAGGGTTTAGGGTTTAGGGTTTAGGGTTTAGGGTTTAGGGTTTAGGGTTTAGGGTTTAGGGTTTAGGGTTGCAACTCTGCAGGATGCCTCCGCCTCCAAAGCGCGCCGTGCTTGCGCTGCCGAGATGAAGCCTTCGAAACGAAGAGCAGGACAGCCACCGTGTACCCATGTGCATGAAACGACTTATGCTACTATATCATACTATGATGTGACGGTATACCATGATAATCTACAAGTACAAGATACTTTTGCGACATACCATCGAAGTGTTCGCAACGTACCATTAGAAAGATAGGGTGAGCTTCGAAATCTCCAAGATGCTCTCTAACCACGCAGTCTTATTAGTTGCTTTCCTAATCAAAGATGTGCTAGAAGCCTGACCTCGGAAATCAGTACCGGAACCTCAAGGCGGCGTCTCTGGCCTGGTGTAGCAGAGTGACAACACACACACACACACCATTCGAGTGCTTTCGCTTGACCAGGTATTTCCAGACTCTGGTAGCGCAGGAGCAACAACTCGCGGCAGCTGAATCACGGGTTTACTTTTCAAGAAAGCGCATTGCAGCATGAGGCTTGTGTACAAGCACCTGCCATGAAACGAGCCTACCTGCCGTACGTGCAGCTCATTACGGCTTGTCTGAAGTCTGAAGAGCTGACTAAAGCTTCAATATGCTCTGACATGAGACAGAAAGGGTCGCATTGTCACAAAACAACATCCTTCGCCTGCGCTCTGAGCTTGAGGAGAGCTTCAAACACCATGCAATATACAATAATCGTCCTACTAGTAATAATAAAAATCATAATATTATTAATAGGAACAATAATAGTAATAGTAACAATCATGACCTTCAATTGAAAACACCACATCTGAAGCTCCGTAGAGACGTAGAACATGTAGATGCTCGAAGACTCTAAGACTCCAAGGGTTTTGCAAAGGGTTTGAAGTGTCTCACGGAGGAGACGGACTAAGCGCCGTTTCGGGAAAGAACTTCGACTCAATCTTTAGGTGTCCGAAACCCTAAAACAAAAAGTTCCGCATTTCATCCAGGCAGCTTGTGCCAATCTTGACCTCAATGACCTGCACGGTTCTCGCCGTCGCAGCATGTCCGAGATAGCCCGACGGAACAGTCAAGTGTTCCACACAAGCCCACACGTCTCTTGAGGCCCAAATGCCTTAAACCCTACTGCGCCTGCTGGGTCGGGCTGAGGAAGCAGCACTCGCGTGGTGTCAAGTCGGCGCAGTCCTACTTTTAGACAGTTCTACTTGGAGGTTCATGGTACCTACTAACCCATTCATAGCTGTACTTATAACCGAAGTATAACCAGAATAGGGCACTTGAGGGGCTCTACGGAAAAGTTGCACGTTCATTAGCTCTTAGGCAAGGACTGCAGTCCCTTTGTAGGCCACGTCCAGGTGCGAAAACAAGTTTGTCCGTTCCCCCCAATGCAACATTGAGACATGCCAAGAGCTGTGGTCCTCTAGCCTGGGCTCCACTAGCTTCGGCAGGGGCTTGTCTGGCTTCCTCTTTAGTCAAGGGTTCCCGCTCGCACAAGCCCAATGCCCGGATACTGTATAGTTGCTTGAGTTCGGCCAGTTAAACCTTCGAACTTGACAATTTTGTGCAGAGGGTTGTCCTTCTGGGTTTGGGAAGTTAATTTGGCTGTCAAGCTTGACAGACCCGAGATGGTTAAGGCAGATCCCGAGTGTTTGAAGTTGTGGGCGATGCACACTGAATCGCTTCAGCAGTGTGATCCTAACAGCGTCGAAGCCTCTGATTTCGGTCGCCATGGGAATGGTGGTAAAAGGTGGTAAATGGTGGTACGTAATGGCCATGAGGATGTTGTAAAGCCATTTAAAGCCTGGTTGCGATTCCTGCCGCGCTATCGTAAGGTCTCGTTACGTTTCCTTCTGCGTGGGTCATGTGGTCGGTTACAGAGCTTAAGCAGATCCGCGACGCTTTCAATGGGATTCGATAAAAAGTAGTGTGTGGAGGATCTTGGCCCGAGCGCTGGGTTAGGGCCCATCCCTGAAGATTAAATGACGTTACCCCCGGAGAAATGGCACCCGATTCCCATATCCAGTCGAGTTTTGCAGAGATTGGTCTCGAATGCGGGCAAGGGTTATTGTTGCCCGGGTGTCGAGGAATGTTGCGCCCAATGTACATTGGGGGAGGTACTCCGTCTGGGTGTTGACCCCATGACAAGTTTGCATAATGTCCTCTTTTTTGTGTGGCATTCTGACTGACACCACGAAGGCGTGGTTAATGTGTGGTCAAACATTTTTCTGCAGAAAATCATGTCCGAAACTGGGCATCCAGGTCACCAGCCATGCATGCTGTGTAATGTATTGATGTTGGTCGGAGATGAGCCAACATCTAGCCTGGCTGCGGCCGTCGAAGCAGGAACTTACCTTGAAGATCCTTGAAGATTACTAAAGTCCACAACTGTATGGCACCCTTGAGCACGCGTCCTTGCCGACGCAGCCGATGGGAGCCGTCTCTACGGGCAGGCCTGGGACACCACTGGTTAAGCCCGAAAGCACTAAAAATCCACTGAGCCCTCTACCCTAATCCCTCTCAGGCCTGAAGACTGCAGGCGTCCGAAGAAGGTAAAGTTGCTTGGAGCACCGCCCGCAAAGCGCCGAGACTCCAAGTCAATGCCGCCGTCAGTCTCTCGGCCTCAAGGATCTGTGACGTCTTAAATTGTGGGGAACTCGTACTCATGCTGTCTGAGCTTCCCACAAACTCCCGACGGCACATGGTCAGTAGCACTGCGATTCTCATCCGGATCCTTGAATATGTGCAGGACTACACAAGATTTCTTTGAAATCAGACGCGTCTCAGCTAAGCACGGCATGCTACTCGGGCTATCAGTGCCTGTCCTCCGCAAAGCCTTTGGGCAGCATCACACACAGCCTGGCGCGCAAAAGGCTTCGGTCGATCCAGGCCCACATGCACGCAAGAGCAGTGCAGGCCTCCGATCCTGCGGCTGCGACCACTCCGGGAAGGTTACCTCTCAGTGGCTTTTGGCTTACACAAAGACAAGGAGCCTGAAAAAATGGCTGCCAGCCCTGTGTAGAGCCACAGATGGACATCTTCCTTCTACGACCACTTCATTTTTCCCCCACACAGCAGAAGCAAACTGGAAAAGACAAGCTGGGTGCAAGAGTGAGGGTACCTCAATGGAAGTTCCGAAAGAAAAATAAATGCTTTTGCGCTTGGCTCTGCAACTCAGTAGCCCGTAACATCGCGCCGTGGTTTGTCGGCGTCAGCTGGAGTCGGTGCCTGTGAACTGCCGGTGTCAGGTCCCAACGTCTGAGCGAACCAATGAACACAGACAAAAAAAATCATCCCTGATCTCTTGAAACAGTGAAAATTGAGAACGCGGATCCCCTCCCCCTCCCCTCTCCGTGGGAGTTTCTGGGTTGGGCACTAGCACTCTGCCCACCGACATGCATGCTGCGCGGGCCCATAGTTCGACCAACCTGTGCCCCGCCCTCTTCCCCATAGACTCCTGACACAAGCCGGGGCACCAGAGAGTCTCTGCGGTTTGGGCACTTTAGCGGCTTTAGCGAGACCCCCAGGCTGGGCACTCCAGGTTGGGCACTCCAGGGAGAATCTGGGGTTGCGCACTCCAGGAAGAATCTGGGGTTGGGCGCTCCAAGGAGACTCTGGGGTCGGGCGCTCCAGGGATGTCTGGGGTTGGGCGGGTTGGGCAGGCACTCCAGGATTCTCTGGGCAATTCAGAAAGACTCTACAATTGGGCACTCAGGGACAGGAGTCTCTGGGATGGGCACTTGAGGGAATCTCTGGGGTTGGGGCACTCCAGGGAGACTTTGGCGAATGTTAATTCAGGGAGTCTGGGGTTGCACGGAGTCTCTGGGGTTGGGCACTCCAGGGAGCCTCTTGGAGTAGACCGGGCGAGGAGAAGAGTTCCGGGCGAGGGGAAGAGTTGAGTCTAAAATTTAACAACCCCACACCGAAGGTGGGGAAAAAGGCACACAACACTGCGTTTTGCACACAGCAATGCTTTTGGGCTGTGGTCTACGTACTCTCGGAGGACTGTTACAAATTAACTGTTGCCATGGTCTCGAAGATACCCGGAAGGCCCGAGAGTGAGGTCGATCATGTGTGGCCTCGCAGGGTGCGGCAAGGCTCTGAACATACTCTCAGCTTTCAGCTTTGGTGGAAGCACTGTGTCATGATTGAGGCATACGGGAGGAGAAAAGCTTCACATAATTCGAGCCGCCGGACGAAACCGCAGCAGGTGAGAGCTGTAGCTAGGTCAGGAACTTGAAGAGAAGAGCATCTTGATTCTTGTTGAAAAGGCTCGTTGTCCTGCCCCTCGTCCTACGGGTCTGACATGTCACTTTATGTCGCTGTAGTACCCAAGGTTCAGCCCGGTGACCTGAGGGCTCCTTGAGCACGGTACGAGGTGAAGCCCATCCTTTTGTCAAGGCCCGTGCTCACCGCGAGCAAGAACCACCTCGAATTCAAACAAACAACTTGGATTTAGCTCGAAGCACATCAAGCAACTTGGATTTAGCTCGAAGCACAGACATACATGTATGTATATGTATATACCCTATGACAGCCCTGGTGAGCCTCTAGCCTGCTGACCCCGGCGACCGTGGATATGTCAACATGGCAATCAGTCTATCAGGAGTTTCCGCACACACCTTGCCAAGCACGCAAACCTTCCTTCATATAGTGGAGCTCAGGCCCTATACCCACTGTGCGTATGCCGAACACCATCAACTGCAGCGCCTGCGATTCCGGGCATGGGGGAGTCTGCCCAAGGAGTCAGCCCTTTCCCCCCCCCCCCCTCCCCACTCCCTCCACCCCTGCCTCAGAGAGGTCGCTCACATCCTTCACATCTCTGACCCAACCAAAGAGAGAGAAAGAGAGAAAGAAGAGACAGAGAGAGACACAGAGAGAGACAGAAACAAAAAGGAGTAAAACAGAACAAACACATCTAACATACTCTCTCCAGGAGCGGCGGGGCACCCATAGTCACCCATCCATGGAGAGGGTTGGTGAGTGCAGCGCAAGCCATAAAACTGCTGCTCGTCTGGATCAAACCTGTGCTGCGGCTTCCAGCTCATTATTGCGAGCACTGTCCTCTAACCCCTGCAACTGATGCGACCGGTGTTGCGACTTAAGTCCTTCTAGTGCCAGAGTACGAATCACAGCACATGACAGCACATCACTCGCTGAATCTCGCACGTGCACACACACAACACCCGCAGAGGGTGTGTAAGGTAGTTTTGGCGAGCAGCCACCAACTTGTCTTCTGACCAGGATCTGAAGTCTGCGGTGCCCAGTGATTGAAGCCCCAAGGCATGGCTACCAATGGCAGCGTGTTACCTGGGGCAATATCTGGCAACTCTTCCCCCCCCCCCCCCGCTCCCACCAAATTGCTCAAGAAGCGAGAGAGAGAAACTCTTGGTCGCAACTCCTGCTCTGAGTCTCTGAGTGCCTTCAACACTCTGTGGGTAAAAGGGTTGCAGCTTGTCTGACAAAACCTAGCTGACCTGCTGTTTCTTTCTGTGCTGTGTTGTGCCCTGCTCTCGCCAGCTTGTGTGCTAGCGAGCCAAACTCGAGCTTTTTCCGACTTCTGGGACCCTTTACATTCGAAACGGTCACGAAGCCTGATGAGATGGACAAAAGCCGCTAAGTGAGTGTCGGCAGCTGAACTCTCAGCACCCGGATGCAAAACCCGGCAATAGGTGGACACGTGGAAAAAGGCGCAAAGCATTCGACTCAACGGGATGCATGAGAGAGTTGTCGGTACACCATCCCACGAATCAGGCATGGATATCTTGAACCTTTTTGGCTTACACTGTGGAGGCTCAACAACCGTTTGAATGCACTTGATAAGATATCCGTGCCCAGGCTCGAACATGAATCGCCTACGATTGCTGTTGTCAAATTGAGCGGCAGCCGGGCAACCAACAATTAGAAAGACTTCTGGCATGTTGGCAAGTTGCCTTTGCTACGGTGATTTCCATTGCGCTCGCCACTGGCACCTGCCAACAGATTGACGAAGTCCTGCAAACGAGCAAAGGCTGGGTCAATCTTTAAGGTTTAGGGTTAGTTTAGGGTTTAGGGCAGTTTAGGGTTTTGGCGTGTCTAGGGTCAAGAAGGGCATGTCTCACAACGCGTGCCTCGGGAAATGGCACGTTGACGTCTGCCCAGCCAAGGTGCAGGGACAGCGCGATGCATACGGCGAGCATTCCCAGGCTCTTCGAGGTTCAATGTTCAAGCTGCCCTTGCTCTTGGCTGCTCTTGTTCCCTAACCTCTGGCAAGAGATCACTGAGATCAACTCCCAGCATTGGCCGTGAGAACTTCCCAGCAACAAGAATCCCATGGAACCTTTGTACTTAAAACTTGAGCACGGGCAAGAGGGGAGAACAAGCTCGAAATGGACACATGGCGCATCGTGGCGCATCAAAGAGGCCTGCACTGCAGTCCCAATGTTTGCCTTTTGCATTCTTCCTCAGTGGATGCTGGCCTGCTGAGGGACACCCGAGAAGAGTTACTTGTTTTTGCGTTTGCGGGCGTTCATCCGGATGCGAAGGAGAGGTGCCCTGCCGCCACATGTTCCACCCTCTGCCTTTAGAAAAGTCGCACGCTAGAATGGTGTCAAGCTACAGGGAAGGGCGGGCACACCCACGAGCGCTGGTTTGCTTATTGAACCTGTTCATTTGCTGGAGAAGGTGTGGCAAGACAACCATTGCACAGGCGATACTTCAGCCAGACAACAACAAAGCAAAGCCGAGACTTTGCACGACGTACTGTGTGCTCTCACTGCAGCCTCCAGTACATTAGCTGCAATTGTGTGTAGCATGCTATGTGTGCAGTAGTGAAAGGTCGTTGTACTCTCCGACGTGCTCATCCGATTGCCCTGAGTGTGGAAGACCTGCCCAGCAAACTCTACAGCGACACTGCCCTGCAAGGCATGCCCCCCTGACCAAAATGTGTTTGGCAGGCAAAAAGCTTCACTCTCATCACATTCACCGGCCCAAGCTATCTTGAAGCCTCAAGGGCGAAGTACCTCTCTGAGGCTCGGCTAGCTGCGCAACTCTGCACTCTAGCACCAATGCAATAAAGCCTGCGCTTTGCACTCCTCTCTTGTCTCGGATCCTGCGCAAAAGCCAGCAAGTTATCGTATGCGGCGTATGCGGATCAGGGAAGCGTATGGTTATGTACGCGGCCTGCCGCCGCATGGGGCAAAACTGTCTGCGAACATCCCCCCGATGTATATACACCCACGTTGCAGTATGTACGAGGCGCGGAAAAAAGGGGCGCGGAGCTCTGGCAATGCAAGATATGCAAGCTTTGCAAGAATCTCATATTGGCTGCTCCACTTGCAGAGCGGATTTCGTGCAACTTTGTGCACTGTGCATAAAACGAGGACTGTACATGCTGTACAATGCGCAACATCTTGGAGAGCCTGTGCCCTTCGCTTCATGAAACAAACAGGGGTGCCATGGCTCCTTGTGAATATTGAACAGTTGAACCTTTTTGTTTTCACCTTTGAAGAAACAGAACGTGGTCACGTTCTTCCATATAGGCCGTTTATTCCTTCTCCATATCCTCAGGCTGCTCCGGCTGAAAGCTAGGATTGCAAAGGTCCGTGTCATCAGACTGGTTACGCCATGCCCGGGCCTCCAAGAAGCGCTCGAAGCTGAAGGACCTCGCACCGGGCCGAATAGCAGGACCGATCTGTGTCGCCGTGTCTGCCATGCCACCAAAGGTCACAAGGAGGACGTCATGCGACGCCATGGCAAGTAACGAGGCCAGGGTAATAGTAGTGGCCGACTCATCCATGCTGTGGTGGGGACCAAAGCTGGAGGTCTTGAGAACTGCTGCACCGTTCTCCGGTAGTTCCTGCACTGTGTGCCTCGCATCGAAGTTATCTGTCTCGAAGAAACCCAAACAACGCTCCCGACCCGGCCGAAGCGGGCCGCGCAAGCTCAAGGGGCTCAAGGGTCGAAGGAAAAGATGTTGACAGAGCTGCCTGAAACATGTCGCCATCACAGTTGCAGCCCTATTGGGGCTGCCGAGACCCCAAAGCCTATCAGAGATCACCGGCCGGAGGTCTGCACCAGTATTGCCGGTGCCAACCATGAAACCCAGCGCGGAGCCTTGCGCCGAATCCCCCGTACGAAGCTGCAGGGCTATCTGTCTTGGATCTCCGCCCAGCACGTGATCAATAGCTTTACGAAGGGGCTCACGCGAGCCCAAGGCAAAGTGAAGGAGGCAGCCACAGAGCTGAGCCTTGCGCGGGAAAGCGTGGCGTAGAGGAACATCTGGTAGACCAATCCCTGTCAAGTTGCCCCAGCCCTTGGGCAGCAAGCAGCCCCAGTTTCCTGTGAAGTGAAGAACTGAGATGTTGCTTCTTGCCATCCTGACTGGTAGAAAGACATCCTTGACCTGATCAAAGTTCCACAGCTCCGTCTTCTCGACTGCGCAGTCCTCTCCCATCTGTTCATCCCAATTCAGGTACCGCGGCTGCACTGCCTCTGCCAGCCTTCACAAATCCGCGGTCAGCTGAGTAAGCTCGGGGGTGTCGCTAGATTGCGAGCTCTCGCTACTCTACTGGTAGACAACGAACAAATACAAACAAAAACAGAAGGAAAGATAATCACAATTGAATCAAACCTGTGCCAAGGGCTTGGGCCAGTCCATCTTGAAGGCCCTGCCAGTCAGCAGCGCCAGTTGCAGAGAAGTGATCAAGCCCTGCCTCGGCCAGGCTTCTGATTCGGTTTCGTCGAAGGTTCGGGGGCTTGGCTTATAGAACACAACATTTTTCCGGGCCACAGGAGATTTCCAACTCCCTGGTTTCTGTGGCCAGCCACGTGCACCAGCACTCTAGGCCTCAGATGATTGGTTCAACAGAGCCGCAACACAGAACTTTGGGACGAGGAATTCTTACACAAAGCCCCCCAAGAGATCCTAAATAACGGTCAAACATTGCAGTTTGATACACTATAGGATATGGCTTTGGATATAATATATAAGGATTGCCATTGAGCTTGGAATCTCTGGCGCAGCGCCAGTTTCAGATAAGAAGAACCTACAGACCTCAATCCCCCGAGTTAGCGCAAAGGCATGGCATGCGAGCGGGAGGGCTCACAGGCGAACACAGCTTAGTGGTGCCAGTCACAGGTGGCGCATGAAGAAGCTAGGGTATGTTGCCTGGGGGTGTGTCTGTTCATGCCACGTAACGCGGCCACGAGCGACGAGTTGTCGTCCTGCGAACGCAGGGTCTATCAGGTGCGGAGTCAAATCTAAGTCCGGCGCTAAGTCAGGTTGCTAACCCCAATTTTATCCGATCGAACCTGCTGCCGGATCGAGAATCCACTCTAACTACGGTGCCCTAGGAATGATCAAGTCTCTTGCTACTGTTCGTCTCCGGCTTTTTGCAATGGTCTGAGGCAAGCAGCCTGGCCGCGTCTGCTTGCATCACCATTCTGAAGACTGCCTGGGCTGCAGGATGCTTCAGGATGCTTCAGGATGCTACAGGCAATTGCAGGCAAGTGCAGGATGCTCTCAACTCATGACTCATGGTCCTCGGAGTTGCAGGATTTGGGAAAGATCCCCCAAGCAGAGTGCCAGCCGGCTTCAGTCTTTCACTCAGGGAGTGGTCCTGTTTGCACGTTGTGCAATTGGCCGTGTATATTTGGCCTTTTTGGCCTCGCAACTTTGGGCTTTGGCGGGCGGCGAAAACTTTGAGATTCTTCAGGCCTTAGTTTCTTGAATGCCTTCAACTTCATAGGTTTTGCGACGTTGTGATGGGATGGCGAGCTGTTCACCTCGCGAGGCTCGCGGCTTGTGGGCCGATCCGGTGCTGCTTGCCCGCTTTGCAGGTGGCGCTGATAACGCTTGCATTTGCTGGCAACATTCACTACTTGTAGAAGCATTCTGATGAATACATTCAACGACGTGCTGAGCTTTGTCACAACATACGCGCCGGAACGAAGGAATGGGTTGGTGCTGAATTTCAACGAACCAACTGAAGTTGCAGAATCCCGAGCACCAAGCAAGGAAGCTGGAAAGAACTAGTTAGATTGGGGGGCCGTTGCGTAGCTGCACGACGATGAACCCAATCCAGACTCTTTCCTTGATGCCCAAAGGCTCGACAGCCTCAAGCTTTCCTTGAGAGGACATGCGACAAGGGAAGCCACAGGAGCAGTCAGTTACCTCTCGCAGGCTGCTTTTTTTCTCGCTGTCTCCAGTGTAAGAAAGGCCTTCCAGCAATGATGGCAAGGGCCTGTTGTTCATTGCGCTGCAGGCGGCGGCAGCAACTTTCACAAGACCCTTCCTTGATGAAGCCATGTGCCAAATCTCCTGCAACGGAAGCTGCACAAGATCGTTGTGAGAAAGCTCAGCGAAATCTGAAGGGTCGTTGGCTGTCATGTCTTCGCCTGCCACTGCAACGGTCACGGCATCCACATCAGCCACCCCAAACGCACGACGTACCACATCATTGGCGTGCTTGTGGAATGTCTCAAGGGAGGCAAAAGTTGCCCCAGATTCCGGGGATGTCAGCCAGAGCAGTGCTGCAGCGAATGCTGCTGCAAGAAGGAGGAGGACCCGCCGAGGACTTGGCATGCCGGAGCAAAACAAGCTTTGGAGGCTTCAAGAAGGACACTCTGGTAGAATCTGGGATAGTCAAGCTGTAATATGACTGTTGAGGTCATGTTGAAGCCCCACGGGCCAGAGGTACCCTATTGCTGCTGCATATCATGCTGTGCTATGCTACACGCGTCATGCCATTACTGCGGAAACGCTTGATGCAAGCCAGATGCGGTTGACTTTACATATGTCACAACCACCCTGAGATTGAGGCTCCTCTCAAATCGGAGACGCACGTTCTCACCGTTCTCACAAGGTTGGCAGCAAGAACAGCGAAGGGGTGGCTGACGAAAAATGACAACATGCACCACGAGATTCTGGGGGAAGAGTCAGTTCCCACTGGCGGCTTCTCCCCCCATGAGTAGTCGCTTTTCTCGTGCGTTGTTGCACAACATGTTCATTCAAGAGGGTTAGGGGTACGTAACCTCCTTTAAGTATTGCAGTGCGGGCTAAGTACAAAGTGTTCAGAACATGTTCACATGTGAACTATGTCGTGCGCTTCAGCTCCTGCAATTCCAAGATGGGCGGTCGGCGGCTTTTCCTAACTCACGAAGCCGGGGCATCTCTGGGAAAGAGCCTTTGGCAGGTAGTCAAGAAGTGTTGTGAGCTTGTCTTGAGAGCGGCACAAGAAATGCCATCCCGCAATCTGCCCTATGCAGTCTTTGGCCCGAAGATGCTCCGATGGCGCCTGAGAGTGGACCCAACCTGTACAAGATGCCCATCGCGAGCCGGTTTTTGGCTCTTGCTGGCGTGAGGCAGTTCTTGGAACTTGGAAGTCTCTTCAAATATCAATATGACACGTCCTCTTTGAAGGCCACGATACTGTGAAAACCTTGCCTATGGCAAGCCATCTGTTCAGAGCTTGAGTTCCAAGTGCAGCCACGGAAGTATGTACGCCGCAAGATCACCAAACAGCCAGGGTGGATGACAAAATGATGGAAAAGATCGCGGAAACGACCCTGATGATGTACAGTAGCGTCGTCTGTTCCATTGTCATGTTTTCCACGGTGGTGAAAAACAAGAAGCACCGACGAACATCAAGACAACACCGGGAACTAGAGGCTTGGCAGGCTTGGCCATGTGACATGCGGAGAAGTTGCAAGGCAGGTGGGCCTTTGCATTTGGAATACCTCGTAATCCTCCGCATAAAGCTGCCGGGCCTTGAGACAAAGCTCTTCATCATATGTGGAGTGGGATTCGGCATCTGTCCTGTGTGCAACAAGCGATTCTGAAGCCCTTGAGGTCATCGAGAAGTTTCTCACCTCTGCAGGGTTTGGCGCTGTTTTGGCCAGCGCTTCAAGCACGCAGTCCGACACTTCAGCACGCGCCGACTTGTCCGGAGGTATGATGAAGACGTGGTGGTACAGCGGTAGGAACTTGCCGAGATCACACCTGCGTGACTGGCGCTGCCAGTGCACATCTTCGTTTTCCAGGAAGTGCATGCCCAGCTCAACCCTGGCAAGGAAGTCTGAAAAGCTCATCGATGCCAGGCTCTGGTAATGCGCGAAAAGGCGCTTCTCGAAGATCTCATTGGGCTCAGTGGCGCCGACCACTCTGTCCAAGTAAGCAGATCTCAGGCGGTCCAACGGGTCCCGCACGACTGCTATCTTTGTCCACTTTGGGTCACGCATGATCTGAACGGCCTCCTCACGTGGCAGGTGTTCGAGCCTCCTCAATCCACCTGGGTGCCCTTCGCTGTCGAGGAAGTGCGGGTTTCCATCCCAGTCTGGCGATCCTGCCAGCCATCGCAGAAGTCGGAGCCACCGAGAGGAGCCAGCCTTTTGCACATCGCAAAACACAATGCGTCGGCTCGGAATCACGAAAGGCGCAAGCCAGGCATCACTCCTTCGCGTTTTGAGAATGTGCCCAGGCAAAAGCTTTGCGAGATATACGGTTGCGAAGACACAATGTGGGTTCTTTCCATAGGTCTGCAGAATCATTCGGAAACAGTCATTCTGAATACCAAGAAGCTGGTTGGCGTACCAGGAATCGAAAGCTGCCGGCTGTGACATGCCTGACGCTTCGCCCTTCAGGTCGAGCCTGCAGCCTGCGAATGCACATGGCATGGATTGCTGGTGTTGGGATTGTCGTGTTGGGACGAAACACATTGTCAAGTTTTGATACCTTCATATGGAAAATACCCAACAAGGTTTGGACACTTGCATGTTCGTACTTCATGGTGACTAGACTGACTTGGCCTCTGGCCGACGGGCAGCTAGATATCGACAGGTCTGGGTGTGTCGCGGGGTGCTTGCATGTGGGGGACTTCAGCGTGCCGTCCCACCTTCAAAACCGTTTGCTTTGTTCCCGAAAGCCCAAATGCGGTTTGGTTCTCGCTTATAGTGCTTCACCGTGGAAGGCGCGAGGACGTTAGTCTGCGAAGAGGCGACGGTCAATGGAGGAGGGTGCCGGAGTTGGATGGAGTAGCGGGCGCGGGAAGTTGATGTGGAGATTGGGGAGGGCGCGGAATTGTAGCGGTAGAGGCCGTGAAGTTTGACTGCATGACAAAGTTGGGGTTGAGGAAGGCTATGGGGGAGCCTTCTTCGAGGGGAGTGGACGGGAAGAGCGGTGCGCAGGGGGAGGCGTGAACAAGGGGGGGGGAGGTGGAGGACAGGGAAAGGGAAAGGGGGGGAAATCCGGTTACTTGGGGGTGAGCCGATGGGCATGATTTGACGGGCATGGCAAAAATCCGGTTGATGGGGCAGCGCGATCTCCGTTTGAGAGGCTACAAAAACTTGACGGGCGTGGACCAGGGGGCGAGCACGAAATCCCGGGGCCTACGAAGACTGAATCGCCCGACCGAGGACTTAACTCGGCCGGCGAAAGGAGAACGGAAGAGGCCAGCGGGTCCTGACAGGAGAGGCTATGCGAAGACGATAAACGGTCAATGGAAAACATGACGGGGGCCGACGCGGTCAGATGCAGGAGAACGGTTTGGAGGCAAAATGGACTTGACGGCGTTCTGACGGAAGAGGCTGCAACACGACGACGAAACAGTCAACGGGTGGGGACTTGCCGGGGCCGGCGTGGTCAGACGCAGGAGGCTACGTGTAAGAAGACTAGATGTGGCCGACGCGAGGAGAGGTTGAGAAGACCTATCGTACGAGTCTCGTTGTGCTTTTTTTCAGTATGTTTGTTTTTTCTTCTTCTGGGGGGGGGGAGGGGAAAGGGGCGGGGGCGGGGGGCTTGACCTTGTTTCTGAAAGTCGGGCCTGGTTGCAGGCCTCCTGGTGGAGAGATGTGTGTTGTGCTTCGGAGAGCATCCTGGAAGTTCTACTCGACAACGCAAAGTCACAAGAGAAACGGCTATCTTTATGACAAGCGCAGCTGTGCTTGCCATATGTTGTGCCCACGTTAGGCTGCTCACAGCTTTGTCTTTGATGTCAGTTCTTCCTGTCCTACCCAGACGACCGTGACACATGGAAAAAAACGGTATACTTCTTGGTAGGTTCAGCCCTGATTGGCTCTTTAAATTGCTGTCGCTTGGTGTTGTATGACCTAGAGCTGTGCTATGTGCCATCGCTATTCTGCTATGGCTACTGTTGATTTGCATAATTGTTCTACAAACAAGCTTCCAACTTTGGCGAGGGCCTCGTGCAGTGGGAGTGTTGCGGTGGAAGGAATTGGGTGGCTAATGCAATTTTCCCACAAAAAAGATTCGAGATCTTTGGGGGTGCCTGACTGATGGAGCTCTCAAGTAGAAGAAAAGCACAGCACGAACGTAGAAGCGCAAGCCGCCCTTCTGGGCTATGGCTTTTTTTCATAAAGAAGACAAGATTTGGATCGGGAGAAGGACAAAAGAAACGAGAAAAGACAGAACGGGCAAGGGAAAGGGAGGAAGGAGGTGAAGGTTGGAGACGGGAGATGGAACCAAGAAATAAGAAATACAAAGGACTAGAAACATTGTAAGTTGCAAAATGTGGTGGTAAGGGAGAGCGAGAGACAGAGAGAGAAAGAGAGAGAGAGAGAGAGGCAAAACAAAAATTGGGACGAACCAAACTCCGCAGAGGCCTCTCTCCCTCTTGGTTTCTTGATGCCAAAGCTCTTCGATCAGCGACGGATCCTTCCTAGTGGCAAGTTCTAAGAAATCATCGTTTAAATTTTTAAGCGCCGCCTTCCGTTGCTCCAGTCTAAGCAGTGTAGGCCAAACAACCTACAGGACAACATCCAGATAAAATTCTATGTCCATGCGCCTGCTGTAAAAGGTCTTTAAGCTTTGGCGATGTCGAACCAAACACGCCTTCGCTCATTTGCAGTGCGCGGAGCGGAGCTCCCAAAAATATTTGCAAAACTGCGTGAGATCATGTTTGAACATGTTTGCTTGTGGCTTTGTGAGGCAATTCGACATGTGCGCAAGAGATTGAGCCAGAATCCTGGCAGTGTTTTTCTTTGCTCAGAAGGTTGCTAAAAGGTGGGTCTCTCGCACTACTTGTAACATGCCGCACAATTTCAAAAGAGACCAGCATCGTCGAGTGGCCAGGGTTGGAGCGCTCCAGCGCGGCGGGCGCAGCGCTCCGTGGAAGGGCCCAGCCCTGCGCAAAGGCTTTCCAAGCGCTCCAGGTGCCAAAGGCTACGCCCGTCCTGAGCTCAGTGGCGCCACACCGTTTACAGTGCAAAATGGAATTTTTTGGGGAAAAAGAACTAGCGACATTCCGCAACAACGAACCGAGCATCAGGGTCGCGATGATGCTGACCGTCTTCATTGCTCCCCTATTGCTCTCGACAGAGCCCGGACCTTCTCAGAAAACGGGCACAAGTTCAAAATGCTCCAAGACAAAAACAAAGCGCTTCTGAAACTCAGACACTGCATTTTGAGTAAATAAAATCACCCTCCTTCCGTGTGTGCATCTCCAAACTTGCAAAGCGCGTGCTTGTTGCCAGGTGCAAAAAAGTTGGGGTGGTTTCTGTAAGTCTTTCTGCGCTCCCTGAGAAGACTCTGTGTGCGCCCCCACAAGTGCGTGCCCCTTCGCAAGGGGCACGCGGGTGGGCGTGCTCCAGCGATCTGTCTGTGCGTGAAACAAACCGTTGTGCTGAGTGGAGGTTGCAACCGAGACCATAACCAACCAGAAGCAAGCAAGGACACTAGTACCTCAACATACCCCAATTGTTCTCTCTCTCTCTCTCTTCTTCTTCTTCTTCTTCTTCTTCTTCTTCTTCTGCGCTGCATGGGCATAGGGGAGCCCCCCCCGCTCTCTCTCAAGATTTCTCTGGCTCTGTCTCTCTCTCTCGCTCTCTTTCTGCCTCTCTCTCTTCTTCTTCTTCTTCTTCTTCTTCTTCTTGTTCTTCTTCTTCTTCTACGGGGCTTGAGAGGAGTGACCCCCCCCCCCCCCCCTCGCGCACGAAGCGCGCCCTGAGTGCGTCCTGGGCCCATGTGATACTGCAGCGGGACTGTGAACATGAAACACTCCCGTAGATTAGCCTATCAACCATCAGATGTTCCGCTTTGCCCCTCTCTCTCTCTCTCTTTGCGCACAAAAAGCGTGCTAGGCCCTTAAACCCTGTGATGTCCAGCCTTGGCCCGAAACTGCAGTAGAACTGCACAAGAGTTTCAAAAGCGCCTTGCCGAACTGCTCATCGCTATGCGACTGAAGTGCAATGAGACTTTTGACTGTCGGAAAAACTCTAAGTCCCTATGGAAGCTTAGAACCTGGAAAGCGGGAGCATATGTCGTCCGTGTCGTTTTTTTCTCTCGGGGCATGGACCTTGCCGCGCAGCAACCCCGCAGAGTGGTGCAGCTGGCGGTCGTTTCTCAAGGTGAGAGGAAGGCATGCCTGCCAAAGCTGGAAACCGGCTAAAGTCCCAAGACTTCAAAGGGTGGAATGCAAACATTCCATATGAAAGTGGCGAAGCAAAGCATCCAACATCGGAACAGATAAGTGTAGTCACAACGAAACGCGCAGCGCCGTGTTATTGATCTAGTGAACCGGGGCAGGTACAGGCGGTATGTCCCGCGATAGAAACAAAGGCCTCATCGCCGGGTGAAGGCTTGTTGCAAAACGAAAAGGACGCTATGGGCTATGTGCTCGCATTCGCATCTGGTCAGATCCTGTCTGATGCAATGGCTCATGGCTCCTGCTCCCTTGAAGCGCAGGACCACTCCCCTAACGCTATTCGCCAAACTAGTAAGCACGCATGGCAAGAAAGAAACGATGCCCTGGGAGAACTTTCACTCATGTTCAACATCGACGCAGACTGGAACTGAACTGACCTTCTGAAAGCTGGAGCCACGGCCAAAGTCCCTGATTGGCGTCCGACATGACAGCTCTTGTCAGCGACTTGCCAGCATGTGTACTTCGAAACTGGGGAAAGCTGCTCAGGCTATCTGTATCTGCAGCATCCCCGAACGTGAAGCAAGGTATCCTCCTCCCTTGAAGCGCCGGACCACTCTCCTAAACGGCTTTAGGCTGAAGCTAGGTGCTAGCGACTCATGGCAAGAATTCGGGCATCTGTCGTCACGAACAACAAAACGCAGCCCCGGCATGAACTTGCGCTTCCGAAGCTGTGGTCAGCCTCGGAAGTAAGTGAACTTTGAAAGCTGGAGCCACAGCCAAAGTCCCTGATGAAGGCTGCCGATGTGACAGCCCTTGTCAGCGACTTGTCAGCATGCAACTTCATAAAAGAAAGAGGCAAAGTGGGAAAAAGCTGCCAAGCTTGCCAGCTTGCCGTCATATAAGGTGCTCAGCCCCCACTTGGCTACTGGAAGTGGCTGACCTGTTGAGGTGTTACTCCGCTCTATGAAAGCTGGAGCCACCCTTTCAAGGCTGGAGCACCGGCCAAAGTCCCTGATGAAGGGGGTTCGAGGTGACGGCCCTTGTCAGTGACTTGTCAGCGTGCAACTGCAGAAAACAAACGAGGCAAACTGGGAAAAGCTGCTCAAGCTTGCCAGCTTGCCAGCTTGCCAGCTTGCCGTCATATAACGTGCTCAGCGCGCACTTGGCTACTTGAAGTGGCTGACCTCTTGGGGTGTTATTCCGGGTTACTCCGCTCTATAAAATGTTGCTCTGTGCTCAGAAAGAGCTGCTCCAAGTGCTCTGCCCTGATCCTCTTTTGCACCGTACCCGTTTTATCCAGGGCATCTCAGAGAGGGCACAACAGGTCGCCAACGCATCGGGTTGAGCTGTCTCACAAGTTCTGCCAAACTCAAAGTAGCCACAAACTGAGGCTTCTTTCAAGTCACACGTAGCAGCACGTCGCAAGAGTCACATTCAGCAGGAGGCATATTCTGTCAGTATCTGGTGCTGCCGGTGAGCCACAACGGCGCGTCCCCTGGCCCACCGCCCAACCTGCGATAGAACTCTTGCAAGCAAGCTGGAAACAACTTCAGTGGCCCAGACCCTGGCCGAGACGGCACATGCTGCTGCCACAAAGCTGCGACCGTGGTACGTAAGTTTGCATGATGGGCTACGAATGCGTAGCGTCGGTTGGTGCCATCTCGGTTCGAGGGCAGCGTGATTTTGGTCTCGAGAGGCATGCTGGGTGCACTGGCACGGATGAACCCCTCCAGCTCTGCGCTCGTGCATCGGGCAGGCACACAGTGAATTACCATGTCCGTGGTCTGGCTCCAAAGTGGGTGCAAATAATGCAGCCCTGTGGGACCCCATAGTTCTTCCATGAGCAGGAGCTCAAGACCCCTCCAAAATCCCGTCTCCGGAATGCTGATGCATGCAAGCTTTCTGTACACATCTTTTGACGCTGAGCTGTCAGGCCGGAGCTCCACGGATCCGTCCTGGGTCATCACCAAGTGAGACGGTGTCTCGAGCTCCTGCGCGCAGAGTTTCTGAGCTCAGGGCTGCAAGGGTGACAATATCAGTGGCGCCTGACGCCTCCCACCCATACCACCCATACGCCTCCAGCGAATCTGTGGAGTCCGTGGAGGCAACGCTTTCTGCATCACCTCGCGGCACAAGTGAAAAAACATCCAAGGATGTTGAGAATCTGCCTTTGAGCGGCTGCTGTCCCCAGAGATCTAGACGGTGACTCTTCCGGCAGGGTGCTCATGGGGCTCGCGCGGCCGGTTGGGGTGGCAACCTGCAGTCAATTTGACACTTTGATGCGCCAGTGTCTGTGACGCTACTGCTACTCGCTGGGATTGTCACCAACTTTCCTTCGCGCAGTCGCCACAGAGCGACTTGACACAAAATGCAATGGGCTTTTTACGAGCCCACGAAGCATGGTAGGGTGCAGTGCGTCCCTCTACTAACTTTCGGTCCTCAGTTTTGGGATTCGTATTCAGGGATGCCTTGCCTCATGTCAGCTCGAAATCTGTCAAAACTTGGGAACTTGGGGAACACTTAGTGGAACTGTCTAGAACAAAGACCGTCAGGGGCGCCTCAATCGAAGGGAAGACGCTGCAGCTCGTGCTGGCAGTGCCTCGGACGCGCGGACACACGGCGCTTGGAGCTGAGCGTATGCTGGCGTCCGAGGACTTCCCCAAGTCTGTTGTCCAGCGGGAAGCTGGGAAAAAATGGCAAGGTAAAGATTTAAAGATCTATGCTCAAGTGAACCAGTGAGGCAAGGGGCTCAAGGGCGATGCGAAGCGTGAAACGTCCATCTTTGAGTCCGCAGAATCCCACGCCTCCGCGTCTCAAGTCTTCGGCTATCAGCAGAACATGCTTCGAGCGTGTGACGATAGCATCTCCGGACGGCGCATCCCCACAGGCCCTACAAGATGAGAGGCTGGGAAGCTCATTATGCTGAGAGGAGTTGCGTGGAGTTGCCAAACATACTTTGGAGCCCCTGCAGGCCCCTGACATGTTGCGCAGACATACAGAATCGGACGGCGACACGGCGCAACAACGGGTTCTGCAGGACCTTTGTGCGCTAATTATTCGGCACTCACTCTTGGTGATCTATTGGACTTTCAAGACCTTTCGAAAAAGTTGACAAGGCCGCTTTTTGTTTTTGTAAGATCCTTTCGGTCCTTCAAGCCTTTGCAACACTAAGAGGCCGGGTCCTTTCAAATTTTAGGGTTTTCAAGATTTTTGAGCTTGTTATGACATTTAACAGGGGGCCTGGGGACCTCGAGCCCCCGTGAAAATTCTATAAGCATGCTTCATTCGAAGACTTCCAGCAAGAATTTGTAAAATTTGAAGGGTCCGGAAGGCCCTGTGACCCTCCCCCTTCCAAATTTTCATCAAAAGCTTGCGTCCAAAAAACGGGCGCTTTTCAATCACGAGGATTTTAGAGAATCTGAAATATTTGCATAATTTGCAGGGTCCGGGAGGCCGTGGGCCCCCCGGGTTCCCGGGCCCCCTTGACATGTGAAACAAGGCCAACGCCTTCTGTTGAATTTTGAGGATGTGAATGTGAAGGGTACGGGCCTGGGAGCCCGCGCCCTCTTGTGGAGTTGACAAAAAGTATCGCGATAAGTTCAGATGTCATGGAGTTGCCAAACAACATACTTCGGAGCCCCTGCAGGCTCCAACAACATCTTCTTGACATGTTGCAGAGAAAGAACAAGAAATACACAGAGTCGCAAGGCGAGGGGACAACGGGTTAGCAACGACCTAAATCCGCGAAATCCGAATCCAAATCACGCTTTGCCGAAGCGGCGCCTTCGCGGAGAAGGACACAGCAGCCGCCGTCATGACCTCCATGTTCAGTTCACATCTTCCATACGGTTCCATACGGTTTGCAATCCGCATGGCAAAACTTTTCAGCGTGGACGCCTCAGACTTCTTCAAACCGCTGGCAGCAGCTGGGGACCTGAAAAGCGTCAACGGCCTGGGCCTCAGAACTGCGGCACAAAGATCGACACGGTTGCAAAGGCCACTTCTGTAAGAGATTCCAAACCTTGTGGCTGTGCGGTAGAGCATGGTAGAACTACGTAATACCACGTACTTCTCAATCTGCTCTGTGCTTAAGTTCGCAGTTGGCAATCGCCGATCATGGAGCCTGCAAACTAGCTGAAGCAAGTGTCACCTGTGCCGCCTATGATTCTTTTACTTTTCGCACAGCCAAGAATCGCGCCGCCTGGGTTGTGGTCAACATATGGGCTGGGATACAATCGAGGTGGCTTCAAAAGTGTCGAAGTGTCCGGGGGCCCTGTGCCAGGAAGCCTCTGATTACCCAAGAGAAGCCCGGTGCTTGTCATGCATTACCGCGGACATTGTAAGGAGCACTCGGACTTACCTGCAATCTGCTGTAGCCATCTGATTCAAGCCCTGTCCACTCCGCGGCTTGTCGGATCTTCTTGGTTGCATTTTGTGCTGTTGTTGCAAATCTTTCAAAGCCTTCAACGTGGGTTGCAGCTTATCTGGAAAGTGGGAGCATGTATCGTCCACGTCGTTTGTTATCTCGTGGCATGGAGCTTTTCACGCAGTAACCCCGCAGAGTGGTGATTTGCGCTTCTTTCTCAAGGTGAGAATCCGGATAAAGTTCAAAGACTTCAAAGCAAAGGGTGGAATGCAAACATTCCATATGAAAGTTGCGGAGCAACGCATCCATCATCGGAACAGACAAGTGTAGTCACAATGAAACATGCAGCGCCGTTTTTTCCTAGTGAAGCGGGGCAGGTCCGCGATAGAAACAGAGGCCTCATCGCCGGGCGGAGGCTTGCCGCAAAACGACAAGAACGCTATGGGCTATGTGCTCGCATTCGCATCTGGTACTGGATTCCCTCAGCGATGATCCAATAAAGGCCTCGGCGCTCGGCAGCATGAAGCTTTTTGCTAAGTTCATTCACATCCAGTCTGACGCAATGGCACGTGGCTCCTGCTCCCTTCAACACAGTGTTAAACTGAAGCTATTCGCGCAACTAGTAAACACTCATGGCAAAAATCAGGGACCTTTCGGCATCAACCAACTCAACAAAACGCATGAACTTTCGCTTCCGAAGCCATGTTCAACCACCAGACAGGAACTGAACTGAACTTAAAAAGCTGGAGCCACGGCCAAAGTCCCTCGTGATAAGGGGTCCGACGAGACAGCCCTTGTCAGCGACTTGTCAGCATACATACCTCGAAACCGGGGAAAGCTGCTCAAGCTTGCCAGCTTACCTCCCCTTGATCCATGCTAGGTCAGTAGGTCTCAGTAGTTCTACCACGAACACGCCAAGATCCGCAGTGCCCAGCGCAGCAACGTGGAAGTATGTACGTTGCGCAGATTGCATGGCTCTCAGGCACAATCAATTCGGTCGAGCCGGCTAACGTGGCCAAGGCACAAAATCTAAAACGAGTTAAGTTACCAGGCTCTTGCATTAAGCAGGAAGCATCTTAGATGCATAGTAAACTGGCTTCATCGCCGGCTGGAGGCTTGTGCAACGCGAAAAAGACTCTACGCGCGTTGACATCTGGTTCTGGATTCCCACCGCGAAGATCTAGTAAAAGCCTCGGCACTTGGCAGAATGAAGCTTCATATAGCTAAGTGCATTCACATCCTGTCTGACGCAATGGCTCATGGTTCTGCTCCCTTGAAGCGCGGGACCACTTGCCCAAAACAGCGATAAATTGAAGTTACGAGTAGCCGCGAACCAGCTAAGGACGCATTGCAAGAATTCAGGCTTTCGGCACTAACCAACTCAACAAAACAACAAGGCATGAACCTTCGCTTCCGAAGCCATGTTCAACCACGACGCAGACTGGAAGTGAACTGAACTTCTAAAGCTGGAGCCCGGCCAAAGTCCCTCGTGATAAGGGGTCCGACATGACAGCCCTTGTCAGCGACTTGTCAGCGCGCAGCTCCATATGACCAATAGGTCGAGTGAGGAATTCTGCTAGCTCCAGGCTCAAGCTTGCCAGCGAGCCTCCCGCTATCTAAGGTGCTCAGCACTCACTAGGCCTCTTGGCTGATTACTGACATGGCTGTTGAGTGCTGCTCGATGTTGCTCGGCTGCTCTACTCGTACCTCCGGTATTTTGCACGTGCGCGTGGCTACGTGTCGATGGAGTCTATAGACCTTCTGATTGTTCGGAGCTTGCAGAGTCCTAGTTTCCGTGCTCAGCTTTTGGCGATGCCACAGGAAAATCCAGTAGCTGCAGACAACTGGAATGCAGAGGCCCGACTGCGGTTTCTTCCTGTAGCAGCTAAAGGCCGGGGCAACGCCACTTGACCCACTGGACATGCCCCCGTGCAACCTACAACACAGGACTGCAAAACACAAATTGAGAACACGAAATACATAGAGCAGAAGGTGAAGAGAAAGGCGGCAGAATGACCGAAATGGGTCAAATGAGTCAAATGGACCAAAGGTCTGAATGGGCCACTGAGGCCCGGAAGGCTACCCTCTCCTATCGAGCTTGCAGCAGGGCTCGAGACTTTCATCCACCCTCTTTCAGCCATTGAGCTGATACCTTGCCTGGAACTCCTCCACTGAAAAAAAGATCCGCAAGTATCCCGCCACTGCTGCGCTCTCGGTTCTGGAGAGTCAGGATCAAGGCGGGCTCAGAGACACAGAGCAGGCGGCCGCAATGGTTCAAGACTTGCGAGCGCAACCTAGTACTATAGAGCTTCTTTCTCAGTTTTTCTCGTATGCTGCGAACAAGTTCAGCGTTGAGGTAGTCGATGCAGTGCGGGAAAGCAGTTGTGAAGAAACCACTAACGGTGAGATTTGGGAAGCTCGAGCGCTTTCTTCCCTGATTTCCAAGAATTCGTTTACTCAGGGAGGATGACACTGGCGCGAACTTGGCTACTTGGTGGCTGAGCTGTTTTTGGTGTTGCTCTGTGCTGGACTCTGCTCCGTTTTTGCCCCGTCCTTGTCCCCTGGCAGGGGTCTCTACTTTGCATCTCAGGGAGGGCACAACACGTCGCCAATGCATAGGGTTGAGCGACTCGTGTCATACAATCCGCTGTCTCACAAGTTCTGCCAAACTCAGAGTAGCCACAAACTGAGGCTTCTTTCAAGTCACACGTAGCAGCACGTCGCAAGAGTCACATTCAGCAGAGCACATATTCTGTCAGTATCTGGTGCTGCCGGTGAGCCACAACGGCGCGTCCCCTGGCCCACCGCCCAACCTGCGATAGAACTCTTGCAAGCAAGCTGGAAACAACTTCAGTGGCCCAGACCCTGGCCGAGACGGCAAACGCTGCTGCCACAAAGCTGCGACCGTGGTACGTAAGTTTGCATGATGGGCTACGAATGCGCAGCGTCGGTTGGTGCCGTCTCGGTTCGAGGGCAGCGTGATTTTGGTCTCGAGAGGCATGCTGGGTGCCCTGGCACGGATGAACCCCTCCAGCTCTGCGCTCGTGCATCGCGCAGGCACACAGTGAATTACCATGTCCGTGGTCTGGCTCCAGAGTGGGTGCAAATAATGCAGCCCTGTGGGACCCCATAGTTCTTCCATGAGCAGGAGCTCAAGACCCCTCCAAAATCCCGTCTCCGGAATGCTGATGCACGCAAGCTTTCTGTACACATCTTTTGACGCTGAGCTGTCAGGCCGGAGCTCCACGGATCCGTCCTGGGTCATCACCAAGTGAGACGGTGTTTCGAGCTCCTCAGGGCTGCAAGGGTGACAATATCAGTGCCGCCTGACGCCTCCCACCCATACCAGCAATGCCTCCAGCGAATCTGTGGAGTCCGTGGAGGCAACGCTTTCTGCCTCACCTCGCGGCACAAGTGACAAAAACATCCAAGCATGTTGAGCCCCTTGATATCAAGACGACAGATTGACGCTCTTCCGGCAAGATGCTCCTGGGGCTCGCGCAGCTTGTTGGAGATGAGTCGTCTGGCAAGTCTGCCACATCCTTCCCAGAAAATAATAGGAGAGTTCCTTCTGAACGGGGGCAGCCGCTTGGATTGTCACCAACTTTTCGTTCGCACAGTCACTACAGAGCGACTTCACAATGGTTGCAATGGGCTGTTTACGAGCTCTACCTGGGCGTGCAGCTGTGCAAGACCAAGCGTGGTAGGGTGCAGTACGTCCTTTTACCGAGCTTTGGGGATGCTTTGCCTCATGTCGGCGATTTCTGTCAAAACTCGGGAACTTGGGGGAACTTTCTAGTGAAAAGACCGTCAGAGGCGCCTCAATCCAAGGGAAGACGCTGCAGCTCGTGCTAGTAGTGCCTCGGACGCGCAGTGCTTGGAGCCCAGTGTATGCCAGTGTTCAAGGACTTCCCCAACGGGGAGCTGGAAAAAAAAGGCAAGGTAAAGATTTAAAGATGTATCCTTAAGTGAACCAGTTAGGCAAGGGGCTCAAGGGTGATGCGAAGCGTGAAGCGTCCAGCTTTGAGGTCGCAGAATCCCACTCCTCCACGTCTCAAGTCTTCTTCTATCAGCAGACGCTTCGAGCGTGTGACGATAGCATCTCCGGACAGAGCATCCCTACAAGCCCTACAAGCCCTGCAAGATGCGAGGCTCGGAAGCATCTTTGCCCAACATACTTCGGAGCCCCTGCAAGCCCAGCGATATCTATCTTCCTGACATGTTGCACCGAAATACAGGGAGTCGCACGGCGACACGGCTCAACAACTAGCAACAACCAACGTCCTAAATCCACGAAATCCGAATCCAACTATCAGATTATCACGCTTTGCCGAAGCGGCGCCTTCGCGGAGAAGGACAGGGAAGGCAGGGCCGTCATGACCTGTTCAGTTCACATCACATCTGCACTCAATACTAGAGGCAGCAATCTGCACTGTCAAAGCTCTTGGCCTTCTGATAGCTTCTCCGGGTTTCGATGGGGGGGACCTGTGAAGCATGGACAGCCTGGGCCTCAAACTGCAGCACAAAGATCGAAACGGTTGCGGGTCATGTCCACTTATGTATGGCCTTTGTCCATTCGAGATTCGAGAGGGTTCGTGTACTCTAGATACTGAAGCTCTTCCGCCTGTTCTGGCAGCAAAGCTTGCGCAACAATCTCGGTTTGTCCCGAATGCGGGGGGCTTGGGGACGTGGAGCCTTGAATTGACCCGTCCTCTTTTCAGATGAGCAAACCTTGTGTTATCTTCGGCCCATAACCGGTGGATTTCCTGAGTCTGAACAAACTCTTTAGAACTTTGCTTACAAGATCATTTGCGCAACTTGCGCGTTTGGAGCAACTCAGGGGCATTTCCTCATCGGGTCATGAAGTAAAGTAAACCCCATAAGAAAAAGACTTCCCCGACATCCCCCGAATGCATCATCCCTCCGACCTTAAGATCCCGAATATTTTCTGCATCATGAAACTACCGGTTGCGTTGCAGGGCGTTGACTGGGCGTGTGCGGGGTGGAGGCCATGCACTCCATGCTACCCGGCTGCAGGGCAATCGAATTAGGCAGGATTTTCGTACTCTTCAGGCTGACCTAATCGATTGAATACATCATTGCCAGGGCAACCTGTTCCAGGGCAACCTGTTCCAGGATGCCGATTCCCCGAGTTCGGCTGGTTTTTTGCGCATGTTCTGTAATGCTAAATTGCAACGGTTTAAACATGAGTAGATGAAAAAAAGTATTGCTCGGTTAGGCTTCTGGCCGAGAGGCGTCTAGAACAAGCAGACCAAGATCTGGCCTACCTGGCCTACCTCCTCCTCCACCCCCCCTGTAGGACCCGACAGTCTGTGGGCCCCTCCCACAGAGACCATGCCACAAAGACCCTTTGAAAGCCTTTCCTGAACTCCTGACGTGCGTGGTGCTGCACCAAGTGACATAGGACTCGGCGTTCCTTCGTTTGCGAGGTGCACGTTGCACCCCGCCTTGGGCCAACCCGGCTGCCGAGGCGGGCGCGCGCAAGCGCTGACAATTGTCTATTACGACTACAACGTTTGATGGATGGGATTATAGGAGAAAAGATCATGTCTTCTACATGCCTAGCCCGCAACAAATCATAGTCAAGAAGCTCGTGCTCATAGCTACAACAGGAAAAAGCTTCGGATTAGCGGTTTCAATAGAGAAGTCATCCAAAAAAACATCGCCTCTGCCGAGGCATTGCTTCATAAGAAGATCTGCGTGTGTGCGCGCAAGCTGGGCAAGCTTCAATGTGCTCACCTCTTTTTAGAGATGCCGCCGATACCGCCTTCGTGGCAGGGGAAAGCGTAGGATTATGTACGCTGCCTGCTGAACCAAAGGGAAGCGGCCTTGCCCCATCCCCCCGCACCAACGTCACGGTATGTACGCGGCGGGAAAAGAGGAGGGGGGATCGCCCCGACGTTTAAAACTTGCTTTTTGGGAGGCTTTCTTGGAATGGGGGAACATTATGGAACATTGCTGTCGGCATAGATCCAGTGACTTCGGGCATGGAACATGGAACCCGAGCAGGATCACTGAAGCTCTGAGCTTGCTCTTTCGCGTTCTTGTGTTGCGGTGTGCACAAACCAATTTGTGGGCCATCCCTGCGATACATATGCAACAGGCGTGCGCGCACTGGAGATTCGGGGCCCACATCTGCATCGGGAAAAACCATGCGAAGTTGGGAGCTGCGGGTCAAGAAAGCCAGAAGGCAAACAGCCTCAAAAATGAGCCCAGGGCCAACAGTTAATTAGGAGCTGCTCAAGTCACGGTCTGTCTCGCTGAACTGTCACCCAGTTCAGTCAGCGTTCAGCATCCACCTTTCAGGAGGTTGCATTGACGCTTCTCTTGGTTTCTTGATGTTTCTTGGCCTGTCTGCCAGCAGCCCAGCTGTTTCATAGCTTACACTCGCACATTTCATGCAAGCAGCAATTACTAGCCTCACTGTCTGGTCTGCTCTGTGCTGTGAAAACCCAGCATCGCAGGGAAGTTTAGCCTGGCTAGTTGTATCAAAGAGTTGCATGAAAGAACTGCTGGATATATGAGCCTCCAGAGCATCACCAGCTGCGTCCAACACCTGACAGAGAGCATGCTGTTTTCGCGAACCCCTGGCGCTATGGCATCACCGTTTGAAAGGCTACAGGAGGATGTGCTTTGTTGGGCAAGTAGACTAAATGAATGCCAACCAGCAGAAGGACGGCCATGCTTCAGCTGCTTATTCGGGCCTGGGAGGTCGTGCTGCCTCGTCTTGCGCCTGAGCAGAGTGCCCAGCAGACCCGCGAAGACCTGCAGCATGAAACGTTCAGATTATTTCAGATTCCTCTGCCTCCCCTTCGAGTTTTCAAGGGTGCAGGATCCCCGTGTGAGATGCGTGCACCCTGGACCCTCAAGATCCCTCGAGTCTCATGTTACTCATGGCCACAAGAAGTTGCAATTTCAACAGCTCGCCTTGTTTTGTGTTGGGATTCAGGGCTCTGAGGCCCAAGCTCCTGCAAGCACTGCCAGCCAGGTCAACCATACCTCACTGGTGTGAATCCACGACTTGTTGAGTAAGCATGAGGCGGGGCCTCCCCTCACTACTCGCAACACCTCGATCATCCCCACCCTAAACCAAGGCTGTGAATTCCAGAAGTTACAGCTTGTTTTTTTTTTTTCCGGGACCTCAACCCCCCCCCCCCCCCACCCGGCCGCCCCTTTTGATGGAAAATCTCAAATGTGACGAACATTTGAACCATCGAATACTCTGTACAGCATGCATGCTGCGAGCTGATAAACACCAAAAAAGAATAACGTTTCACAAAGATGCTGCTTTTGTTGAAAGATCATCTGCAACTGCAACAGCAACCAATCACCAAACAACAGAAAATGAAAAAAAAAAAAGCCGATAGAGATGAAAGTGAAGCAGATGAAGAGGAGGCAACTAAGGTGGGTCGTACATTTCGTCCCCAAACTATGCATCTGGCAAAGAAAACAGATGACAAACTCATATTCATCGCGGCAGTCCAAAGCAGCTTCGGGGTTGGACCCCCACCTCCCCTTTCCCCCCCCCCCCCCCCCCCCCCACCCCCCCCTCTGCCCCGCCCCCATCTGCCCCCCTTCCGCCCCACCCCCCCCCCCCCCCCCCCCCCCCCCCCCCCCCTCCCCCGACAAATCGTCCCCTCCTCCTTCTCTGTACGCTGCAGCAAACCACTTGGAAAGTCAACCCGGCAGGACTCTCTGTGGGCTGCTCTGGGGCTAGGGCACTAGACCGGGTGGGACACCGGCTCATCATCATACAGAACAACATAACACGCCATGGTGGCCACTGGGAAGTGAGGCCTTCAGCCCATCAAATTGCGGACTCTGAGCCGCTAAGGCTTAGGCACCTCCTGGAACTCTCAGCCTCCTAAGAAGGTGCCAACTCTGGACCAAAGATCGCCGATTCTACCCCGTGCAGCAGGAAATCACACCTCCCCCCCCCCACCACAGTGGTGCAAGTGTCCAGCCCAGCAACAAATCCCAGGTGCGAAAAATGATGAAACTGCTCAATCAGAAAAATCCGCTCGGTGTGGTGAGGTGGTGCAGTAGGAAGCCAATGCGACGAGGAAGAAGGTGAAAAAGAAGCGGCAGATTTGTGGTCCGGGTTTTCCAATCTCTCCACTTAAAGGCAGTCGAGGCCCTCTAGACTGGTCAGTGCCCAACGTTGGACAAGCCGACAAGCCAGAAGGGCACGCTGGGGTTCTGTGCAAATACACTTGTTGGAACCTAGGGCGGAGGGTGGAGGGCTCGGCACTCCAAACTTTGATGGCACACCATCGTCCACAAAAACCCCCCAAAACCCAGACCGCTTGGCTGCCAACCCATTGCAGGAAGTGCTCGTGCCGCGTCTCTCCCTCGCAGGTGCGGAGCCAGCGACAGATGGTGCAGGAAGTCTCAGAACCTCTTTGAACCATTGTGCGGTTTTGGTTCCTTCCGAGAGGTCCCTAAAAAGATGAAGGAACTCCGTTGCAGAATCTTGCAAAGTGGGTCAACATGTGTCAAATGCGAGTCTTGGCGGAAAGAGGGCAATTGACCTTCCCTGAGAGGGCGCTTGCAGGTCCAGCTTATGCCAACTTTGCCAAGTTCCCAATCTGAATCGGAATGCAACCACAACAGACCTAGCACACGTCCATCTAGGAAGTACGTGCCGTCATGGAAAAAAACTCTTAAACCTCCGAACCTCAAAGAAGCGGATCGAATTGCATTGATCCCGTAGTCGTCGGGAACTCGCACTTTCAAACCGACACGAAACCCAAGCCAACAAGTCATCCAAAGGCCTGCCTGACTCCGGACGACAGAGCTTCGGAGCGAAGGGCTGACAAAGACCAGAGGGGGCTCAGAGGGGGGGAGGTGGCTCAGAGGGCTGGAAAGGGTTTCTATAGGTTTCGGGGGCTGCAAAGTTGGGGGACAGTGCGTTTGGGGGTTTGGTCGTCCTGGACTTATCTGAGCTTAGCTGTGCGAACGGTTGGCTGGAGCCGTACAGCCGGTGATCGACTGGCTATCAGCTTTGCTTACAAGTGTGATATTATATGTATATATATATATATACATATCAATCTTTTGCAGAGAGGACAAAGAACCTCTTGCGATCATGTCTTTACGCTTTAAGTGCACCCGAGGCGATCGCATGTTTGCAAGCTCCCATATGTTAAGTCTGTGTATAAGAAATTCGCAGCCATGCAGTGTCCCAATTGCAGCTTTGCGGCGGTGGCGCTGGCTTGTCCTCAGTGGCGACAGCAAGTTGTCCGAACATCCGAACGCTTCCCCCCTCTTATTCTGACACAAGGCGCCTCTGCATCATAAAACTCTGACAAAGGCCCTGAAGGACTTGGAGCGTTTTTTGGGGGGTGTCCCCCTCAACAATGTCCCTTCTTGAGCTTGTTCACTTGCATAAATGGGCCCTTCCTCACGGCAGTACCCGTGCCAAAGCAATGCGATGACCGAAAAACACATCCCCAAAAAAGGGAAAATCTCCGTTTGATGGGTGCTGAGGGTGCAGGACTCTGAAATTTCAAGGGATGGCTGCAGTGCTTACACTGCGCCAATTCCTTCCGCTGGGGCTGTGTTGCATCCACTTGAGTTTGGGTGCAGGCCCAGGACGCTGAGCAGTCCTTCGCCTAGTGAAAGTATGGGTGGTTACTGAAGTGGGGTTTATGTGCCTCGTCATCCCCCAAAAGGACGCCCAATATACACGCTCACCAATATTAAAAAGGGCCCTTATATACACTCACCAACAAGTAATATAAACCCTGCTTCACATCGATTCTGAAGGTCCCCTTGAAGGTCCCCGCACCCTCGATGCCGACTATGCCGAGGATGGCTAGGCTTGCAGTATCTGCGCATAGCAGATCCTCAAACCCCGTCTGCTAAGCATTTCGGCTAAGCTGTTGCTGAACCGGAAAATGCTAACTCCTCAAACCTTATTGGCTCCAAGCCCGGAGACCTGCGGAAGCTGCGTCCGCACTTGGAGACTTCGGAGAACCAGAGGATGCTGCTGAGCCTCGAAGAGGACAAAGCGCATGGTAGAGAGAGGCCGAGAAAGAGCGCGCAAGCTTTCGATGGCGATGATAGCTACGAGAAGCTGGGGCTCTTGTTTTCTCTAAAAACAGATGTGCGCGTATATCTCTTCCAATGTACGAGTCGGCATATAACGTGAGCTGTCCTAACCTAACGGTGTATTTCATGTCTGCTGGTCTGCCTATAGTTCTACCTACCCCGACCTGCGCACAAGGTACACAGGCATTTATACCTGAGCATCAAGTGGAACTACTGCAAGCATCTGACTGAGACGTGCGCGCGAGACACCTGGATGCGGATGCACCGCACCTCGAGATGGGACCACACTTGACTAAACCGTAAATGCAGGACACAATGGCAGGGCTTGGCAGCGGTGTAGTGCTTAGGTGTATCATGCTAAAACCTAAAAACTCACTGCGAAAGTTTGCACACGAACTACTCAAAGCTTCGGTGCTGCAAGGCCTTAGATAGCATTTGAGAAGCACGTTCGCCACCCTGGCTTCTTAGGAGGTCAACAGGCGAGGCCCTGTCCAAAACTGGGATAAGCCGAAGTCCTAGCATCCCAAGGGGCGCTTCTTGCCTCCAGAGCAGATACGATTCGCCACTGAGGCTCCGGCATCCTTGATGGGTGTGCTAAAGCTGCTTCGCCAGAATACCTGCACGACCCAACGGCATGTTCCACTCTGCAGCTCGCTATGTGCACCCGCCATATTAGCGAACCCAAAGGCACACCACCTCCTTCATGGTTTGCCTTGCTTCCAAGACTTCAAGAGGTAAGGCCCCCTGAGTATGGCTTCATTTATGGCTATGGCTCCTTCAAGATCTAGGAGTGCAAAGTCATGCCAACACGATGCCCCCAAAAGATCAAGTGACAACAAACCCATGCGCCCCCAAAAACAAAGTTGGGAAAGCTCAGGCGATTCAGGCGCCTCACGCCCGGCGAGGTTGAGGATCCTGCTGTACTTGCCGCATGGCTGCCCCTCCTGAACCAAAAAATCAAAAGGTGAATGGCTCAGTACATGCTGTGGGTTCATGGTGACCCCGGATGAAGCCACAGGAATTAATGTAAACCGTGCATCGCGGCGGCGGAGGGGTTCGTTTAAACAGGCGCACAACCCGTCTCCTGACTGCTGCTGCTAATGACTGCTAACAGTTGCTCATTTCTGAAGAGTGAGGTTCCCGCACCCGTCATTACCATCGTAGACATCTCAAAAACACGAGTCAACACTGGCACTGCACTAGCAGGGATTATCCACTGCAGGTACCCACGCATTCCATCTCTGTCTTAGTCTGCGACGCTGGCAGCCGCACTCTGCCCAAAGAGCCTTAAGGCAAGCTTGGCGCAAGCTTTCCCTTGGCTCGAAAAGGAGGAAAACCAGCACAACCTGCGTTGCAAAGCGCGCATCTTTTCTCAGGACCCGTAGGGGCCCGCTCCCAAATACAGAAAAACAGTTAAAAGCATCTGAAATGCACCCCTCGTGGGACTCGGGCTTGCGGTGCGTTCCGAGTGATGGGGTACCCGTGTCTGTGGGTCTGAAGCTAGCAAAGGAGTGCTCACATAAAAGCATTCCTCGACTGAGTCCACCATGCTCACAAGCAAAGGCCCAAAGCGGGAGCACTGGGGCGATCGCATTTCGGCATCATCCAGTGCGTAGTCGAAGTCGTCATCAGGAGCCTCCGCCTCAGCAATAAAAACAGTTTTTTCGGAGATCCCCCAGTGCAGTCGGAGCCTGTCGGGGAGCATCTTTTGAGGACGTCTGAGCAGGAAAGCTCCAAGGGCTGCACCGCGGAGCTCTGCTTCACCTGAGGCCGTTGAACGTCTTGTGAACTTCTTGTGAAAACGGAGACAAGGCGGGAAAAAAGGAGACATTGCAGGACCCCAATCAAACCCATCTTACCCAATAAAAGATGAAGCTACACCTTCAGCACAAACATTTTTCCTGTCTAGTCCATGCTATGGGCTGCCTTAAACGCCCTTCGTTTCATCAGCAGAGATGTGGGATCACAGCCCGGAAGCCCTGCATATGAGCTGTGCAGAGCCCCTGCATCCGCACGCGTCCCTGTGGGGAGTCGCATCGGCTCCAATGGAGCACCGAAGGAAACTCCATGAAACTCGTATGGCCGAACGTTGAAACCGTGCCCTCTCGCATGTTGCAAGCCAGTGAAGCCTTGTTTGTACTGCAACGCAGTGGGGACGTGCAGCGCCAGGACAACACCGATTCCGGGATCCCTCCAAAGGATCCGAAGATTTTTTCCGGGGGGGATCCACGGCCAGAGGCCTTTCGAAGCTGAGGAAAGGAGGCAAAGGGTCGTCCCGAAGATCTTTGCCCCCCTCCATGCCTCTGCGGTCGGCAGGCCCAAAGCTGAGAGAAGCATGTCACATCTGGCCGCCACGGCAAGCAGGGACTTGGAGTCTGAACTCACAGGGGAAGGCCGGATGTCGGACGGCAAGTAAGCAAGCGTCGTGAATAAACATTGTGATGCGTTATGATGTTTCACACCAATACAAAGACACAAAAAACTGTGGAGCTTTGGCCTCAATTCGTGTGGTGAAGGTGTGAGTCATCTCCCGCAAGCCCCCTCGCCTCTTCAGGATACCCTTACATTTCTCAGGGTACGTTCTGCACGGAAACTGGCCTGTGCCGAGGTTTCTTGTGCATCGCTATACATCGCTTTCTTTCTGCCATTCTTGCCTCTGTGACAGAACAGTGCGGCTCCGAAATTCTTGCAGCAAACGAAATTCTAGTGGACCTTGGTGGGCATAATAGCACTGGGAACCTCAGAAGCCAATTTCTACAAGTATCATAAACCCGGCCCTAAACCCTAAACCCTAAACCCTATAAACCCTAAACCCCCGACATATTCCGCTGGCATTGCGGCACTGAGGTGCCGACGGTGCCACCCATTCGCAGGTTGACCGCCTCAACCTTGGGACTGCGGCAACGTCGATGTTTGCCTGCTTGGGGCTGAAAGTACTAGCACTGCTAGCACTGCTGTCCCTTCTCCCTTCCAGAATCGTCAAGGTAGTTGCGTCGAAGCCAGGTCTCCGGCATCATGGGGCTCTTTGAACACCAACTCCAACCAGGCTCCCTTCGGGGGGTCTGCTCTTCTTCGTGATGCAGCACGTCATTCTCATAGCATGTCCAGGAATAGGTTGTGTTCAGAATAGTCGATCCGCCCTGCGACTGCTCAGCTTATCAACTGTTGCTCCCCCCGCCGGCGAGGTGACGTCATGAGTTTTGTAGACCGCTTTGCATTCACCGTTGGCCTCACCCAAGGACGCACGTCGCCTACTAGAATCATTCACGTGTCACAGAAACGAATGAGAGCTCCCTAGCATTCATGGAACAATCTGTGCCGGCAGTACCCATCCGCAGTCACCATTGCACCAGAATTCACCATATCCCGGGAGGCCTGCACCGTTGGGCTTGGAAAGGTGCTGCTGTTTGCTCAAGGTCTGTGGCGTTTGGGGTAGGCTTAGAGTCTCAAAGGTGTTTCTTTTTGGAGGGGGGTCCTCTAATCGCTGGCCGAAGGAAGCAGTTCGGAAGTCAATTGGGGAGAGAATTTTGGGCTGGCCATGGGCTCGCCAACAAGCACAAGAGGGCATTTGCGGCACTTGCGGTGCTTGAAGAGTTGAGAGCTAAGGAGTCCTGAAGCAGACAATGTTTGGGGCGAGCAGTTCGGCGATCGTCTCATGGCATGTCGCCGCGGAAGCCGTGGAGTTTAGGATTGGCATCACTTGGCACCCGCTGCCAGCCCAAGAAGCCAAGAGCTCAAAAGACTCTTCACTCTAAGACCGTATAAACACGCAGATTCAGCACGATGAGTCTATGACTTGGTGGCAACTTTCTGGGACTGCGGCATAGGCAATGTTGCGTTTCTCGAGATAGCAAGATGTGCTACACCCCTGGAATCCCCTGGAATCCCCTGGATACCGCGTTATTTCAGGCAAACTGGCGGCACGCCTTCGGGGCATTGCTGACACGTATTGGCTTCGTGTCGGCCACAGCTGACCTCTGCTGTCCGGATTCTGCCCATGACTCTGCATGACTCTGGGGCTTGAGGTGGAACCATGAACGAAGGGGAGACGACTGCACAGGCTTCGACATTTGGGGTTGTCAGGATGTTTTTGGATGTTGACTTCATGATCAGGTTCATGGGCGCGCAAAAGGCTCCCCGTGTTCCTGCAAAACCCCTTGACCCGGCCTGGTGGTTGGGTGCAGAATCGTCGTACAGTGACTGCAGCAGGTCGGACCGCCCCCTGAATTTGTCACACGAGGAACTCCCTTTCAGAGAAAAGAAGGCTTTAGCGGCTTTAGGGTTTCCCCTCAGGGTTTCCTCAAGGTTTCCTCAAGGTTTCCTGAGAGAGATCACACTCCGGGGGCCTGCGCGTAAGGGGCGCCGAACTTGGGTAAACTCTCATGTCTTCACAACTGCGCCTTGGCATGTTACTAGGCAAGGCTGGGGATCTGACTTCGTGTTGGTCGCAAACGCCCCCGAAGGATTGTCGAAGAGCGAATCAGGAAGCGGGTGACTCTTGAACCACTCCTGGCATTGTGTCCGGAAAGTTCAGGAACGCCATTCAGTCAAGATTGCCCACAAGAGCCGAGAATGGGGAATCTGATGCTGCACATTGCCGCGCCGTAGAAACTCCCCCCTCCATGAGGTTCGTAAGGACTGCAAGAAAACCGCCTCTCATTCCAACTTCTGCGCCAACACGCGCAACGTGCCTCGGATGCCCGTTGTACTTTGCCTTGCAAGGAGGAAACATCGCCGAGGTGCTCAACAATGGCCTGAAGGGGGGGCTTGGCTCTGCAACTGTTGCTAACATCGCTTAGGGTCCCTTCCCCCAGAAAACTGCGCTGAAACGAGAGCCTTTCAGGACCCAAAAAGGACTCTGCCCCTTCGATTTCTGGAAACCACGTGTCCGGGCATCCCCGACGTAAGTCACAGCCACAAGTTTCCGCACGGTTGACGAAGAGGCGTTTGTTGCTCGAGCTCGCAGTTCTCCAGAACGGTGTCCGTCTTAGGTTTCTTCCGAGGTCCCCGAAAGTAGCCGCATTGTTTACCTGCCTCTCTCAAAGGGGTACTTTTTTGTCCGACTTCTGTGTACATCTTCACCAAAGAACGTCGTGGTACATGTTTCGCGCAACTGTCTTCCACATTGGGGCGTTGAAGCGATCTTCATTCTGCTGCGCCTTTGAAGTGAATGGGCATTGGATGCTCGACCCCCCCCCCCCCCCCAAACCTCGAGGAATACCCTGGATACCCTCATCATCCCAAAGTGGGCCAAAACCTTTGCTCGCCCAGCCTCTTTGTCTTCGGCGTACAAGATCTTGATATCCGAGCGCTCGCCTCTCAAAGAACCTTCGGCGCAACCCATATATCGCTCACAGTGTGGGCAGATCTCCAAAATTTCGAGGGCTCATGACGATCAGATCTTAGGTCCTTCTGAGCCGACTCTAGCTCGTTGGCACTCGTTGGCCCTCGTTTGCTCAACTTGGTAGATGCCAATGGCAGGAAACGGGCAAACAGTTCCATGCCGGGTTCAACGCATGGGGTATCAGGCGGCATTCATACCGCGAATTGATTCGTAGGCTTGCTTGTGCTAGCCACTTCTCTGTCCCAACTTCGGTTTCGTCAGATCCCCTGTAGGCTGATTCAAACTTAACATGACTACTGTGAAATCTACATATGAACATTGTATTTAACATGAATACTAATGTGACTATGTAAGTACTATTTACCATGTTCAGATTAAGCTTGAGATTGTTCTCAACATGAAAAACGTTTTTTTTTTTTTTTTTTTCCTTTCTGTTTTGTTTTTTAAACCTTGGCATGCCCTCACTTACACAAACGACAGGTTTTCGTAAGCCTTAGCATGTTCTCAACATGAAAAAGGACAGGCTTTAGGTAAACCCTAGTGTGTTCTCAACATAAGAACCGAAAGGCTTTCTGCACACCCTGGCGCGCCCGCAACATTGAAAAGAGAAGGTTCTTTTGTAAACCCTGGTGTGCCCTCTTCGGAAACAATGGAGGTAGTGGGGGGGCCCGAAACGGCTGCTCTTTCACATGTGTATATATATATATGTGTGTAAACACATATATTCACGCAATGCGTACATAGATATGTATAAACACACATGCATATATATGTAGATACACATACGATGAAGGTCCAGATGGTCACACCCAGCACAAATCCAAAAACAGTCAGCCTCCTCACTAGATGATATCGAGCCCCACGGGAGCTTTTTGAGGGAGTGGCACACTTATACAAGCACCAGCGAAGCTTATCAAGGCGACAGTCCTTACTTGAAAAATACCCTGCATGGATTCGAATCTACTGGGACATCCAGGATGGACGGGTAACGAAGCACAGCTACCGGGACAGAACAAAGGCTACAGGAACATGTAGTGAAGGATGCAGGGACACCCCGAGGATTAGTAGTGAAGGACAGCTATTGGGACAAATGTCAGAGGTATGTCTGCGTGTTGCCATATGATCGTCTTAAACCCCAGTAGACTACGAGCTTTCCTGTCCAATTTAAACTGTACCCAAGAACGGTACCCATGGTAACAGTAAACACAATTCATAGAACGACGCGTGTGAAGTCAGTTTGTACCGTCGACATGAGAGGCAAAAAAAAGTTCTCGCAGGCGTTGCCTCGCGGGTTTGCTTGGAAGAATGTTTGCTGCAGATGGCCATTAAAGCCTTATTCTACTGGTCTACTGGTGCGATGTTGGACTGATAGGTAACGGAGACCAGAAAACGACCCTTCAGGAACTACGTTGTTTGGCTACTACTCTGTCTACTCGCGAGGATCCCTAATGATTACAAACCCTAAGCCCTAAGCCCTAAACCCAATCGCTTGCACATCTCTCCTGCCTAGCTCCGTGGATCTCGGCCGCTGCTCGGCGACGACGTCAAGGAAGTCCCAGAACAAAGCGTCCGCCGGAAGATCGGGAAACATCAGAAGCAACTCCTGAGTCTAAGAGAACGATAGAGAGAGAGAGAGAGAGAGAGAGAGAGAGAGAGAGCGAGAGAGAGAGAGCGAGAGAGAGAGAGAGAGAGAGAGAGAGAGCGAGAGAGAGAGAGGGAGAGTGATAAGAAAAAAGAGAAAGGAAGCAAAAGAGGCTCACTCTCTTCTCAGCTCCCAAGGGTCCATCCAACGCTGCAGGAACTTGGAGCGAATGAGCTGCCTCGCGTGACCGTGCTTGCTGAAGCGGATGCTGATCCAAGAGTTGTTCCTTAAGACGGGTTTTGAAGTAAGGGCGGAAGCATGTGAAAGTTAGTATCGGATCTTTGTTGAGTCAGAGAGACAAACTATCGACAACAGGCATCGAAAAAGCCTAAAAGAGCCTCAGGATCTGGGAAGCCAAGCGAAGCGAGTGCTGCTGAAGAAGCTGGGGATACCCCGGGGCCATGACCGAACTTGTTTCCAGCAACATGAAGGTGTCAGCCAATGGCCGCAGAAAACTGATGAGGAGTGCCAAATCGACGTTGTATCGTCTAGCAGGGGGATGCGGGTACAGATCAAGCGAGGGGTCGAGCAGGTGGATGAGAGCTTGCATCTCCGGGCTCAATCCTCCGAGCATGGCTCGAATGCCAAGGATCAACTCCCCTCGCCGTGCCTGCCGTGCCTTCTCGGAGGGGGGCACCAGTATGCCCACGAGGGCCGCGTTCCCGGTGGCACTAAGCAAATGTGCCAAATCGTTGGCCGCGGTCGCTGGCTCAGTTTCGGGATCCAGGATAAGTCCAACCGACAGGAAGGCCTTTGGGGCCTTTGGGGCCTGCTCAGAATGCTTCGAAAATCGAGGGTCCGCAGCCGAGCCAAGGTGCATAATCTTCGAGGCATCGACATTAAGAATACCAGAGCTCAAAGACTGCCAGTCCAGGGGAAGATGCTGCTGATGAGGCTGCCCTGATGCGCAGAGCTTATTGGAAACAAAGTCAGAATGTGGCTGGGGTGGCTGTCGGCCATATGCTCCAGCTGGCCCTGAAGAGGGCCATAGGAGGAAGAAGACGAGCAAGTCAAGCACCAGGATGTAGTAGAGCGCCCAGCAGCTCAGCTCGCCAAGATTCTTGGTGTTGCGAGATTCGCGCGGGCTGCATCGGACGAGAAGCCACGCCACACTACCGGCAAAGAAGCCAATGAACACTGCCACAGCGTTCAAGGGATATGAAGAACTCTCCTTCTGCTCCTTCGGAGTTTGCTCCTTTGGAGGCTGCTCCTTCGGAATTCGCGTCGAAGGCCTTGACGCCGTGGGCACGTCGACCCTCTGAACTACGATCTCACGGATCAAAATCCATTCTCGCTGGGCTGCCATAACAGCGATCTCCAAGCAACGCACCCCTTCCAGCTTGCCTTCCCAGGTTTCTTCGGCCTTTGAAATGTTCCGCAGATTGGTGGGTTCGCTGCAGTCACCTTGGGCAGTAAAGTTGCAATCGTCTTAGACCTTTAAGGAAACAGTTTTGTTGACGAGCTATCGTCCAAGTCACTCCTCTGGGACACGCGTAGCTGCCCGTTTCCTTGCTTCTGGCATATGCGAAGGATCAGATAGTTAGACGCATCGTTTGACTACTCCCTGATTCCCTGAGAGGCATCATGGGAGGCCCCCCGCCGCCAACCCCGGCCAATTTGGAGACCCATCCGAAGAGCGAAGCGTCGAATGAAGTCTGCCTCGTGGCCAGGGCGGCCTTGATGAAGGACGATCCGGGCCTGTGCTGTGAAGGCCTCGAAGAACTTCAATCCTTGCACACTTTCAGAGGCGTCTTAAATACTGTGGTGGATTTGGTCGGAAAAGCAACAACCACAAACGCATTTACTCGCCAAGCATCTCAGGAACTTGTTCCCTAAGCACTGCACCTCTGCGTGAGGGTCCTGTGAGTCCATTGCCTCTGCACAGTTCTCCGCCGTCCAGAATCCCAAAGGGTCGCCCGGCGGGTAGGCGGCTTCAGGATTGTAGTTCTGTCAGGGGGATAGCGGGCATATGCGGAGGCGCCATGAAGCACAATTGAAAAACTGCATCTAAGGCAGGAGAACCCGCATAGCGGGGGAAATCTGACTGCGAGTCTTTGTCATAAATCAGAGGTGTCGGGGAAGCCCTTTGGGAAGCCCTTGATCCCAAACTCTATATTCCCAGCTACCTTGTATGGCACCATAGGGCTTTCCACTGCTGCTCTTGGGTGACCTTAGCGAGCACCCTCGGAGACTACAGAGGCTCCATGCAAAACCACAGCGACGTCAGGCTTTCTCTGAGCCCCCTGGACTTTGACACCGAAAAAACTGCAAGCCAGGAACCTCTCCTGAACTCTTCTGCTGGTTCAGTCTTGTTGGGTAAACATTGCTGAACCGCGGAGCGTTGTGCATGCAGACCCTGTAGGTGCTTTTTTAGGGCGGGGAGTCCGGGAGGCTTTTTATTTCGATAAGCAGGCCTGGGGTTAGCAAAGGTAACTCTCTGATTCGCCTCTTTTTCAAAGTGTAGAGATTCCTTCAAGTGTCTTCGCCCAGGGGCTCATGGTCCATGCCCCGTTGTCGTCCATCTTGGGCTTCAGTGTGCTTGAAGGCACCTCAATGAAAGGAAGCCCCGAAGATCCCCGAAGCTTCCTAAGATCCTAGCGCCAAAGACACGTTGTAACAGGCTGATGATGCAAGCAGGACACCGCCTCATTCAGGAAGATCCGTGGCAACGAGCTGTCCAAATAATACAATGAGACGTCCTCCCTTGACTTCAGCTTCTCGACTGCTTCACCTTCTTTGGCAGACTCTGGCTTCCTTGAGAAATCCTGTTCAAGCATCTCAGGCAGATCTGCGGTCACCTTCGGATGTCACAGTGGGGAAAGCGTTTCTCTCGCGAACGGTTGGCAACGAAACACGTGGGGGTTGCTTTAGGATCGCTGGGGGTACTTCAGGCATCAGGCGCCAAAATAGAAAAAAGAAGAACAACCTTGCTTCGCTTGCGGCAGACAGGAGTAGGGCTCCAGGTGTCGATCCAGGTCCATACCAGCCAATCGCACGGGGCTTCCGCACCTCAGGCCCTTGAATGTCACTTCAGCCCTTTTCAACGGAGTCTCAGGAAATTGAGAGGGGAGGGGGGTGGGGGGGGGGGCGTTTAAGGGCCCACAAAGGATGGCATGACATGGCTCTACACAGGCTTTACAGTTTGTCGGGCACTTCGTTGCGTTCCTGAGCAAACGCCACTCTTATCGCTCGAGCACACTAGCCTTGGGGACGAAATGAACCCTAAAAGGGTTTATGGTTCATATACCTTAATGGGAATTATAGTAGTCAGGGTATATGACCCCCAATTTTAGGGCTCATTTCGTCCCCAAGGAGGAAACTGATAGAACTTGCGTATTTGCACCGGCCTCCCTGCATGCCTGGCTGCTGAAGGCGAGCAGAAAGTGCGCGAGACTGGGGAGGCGCGAGTTGTTGAAGAGCTTGCCAATAAAGCCCAAGCTCGAAAAGGAAGCCATGACCTACCAAGTGCTCAGACCAAAGGATCCCTACAGTGGCCCTCAACACCCATGCAAAAATCCTTCCACTTGCGATTCAGTCGGCCCATGGCTTCCCGAGCAGGCTTCTCTCAATGGCGCTTTGCACAAAAGTTGCGAAGAGCGGTACAGGATGCACATCATCCTCGCAAGCTTAAGAGGGGGCCTAATTCGTCTTTGCTGCTTTTGGGGTGGAGGAGGAGGGCGGGGGTTGGGGGGTTTGGCACGGGCTTCGATGAAGGGTTTAGAGCTTGGGGTTTTTGCAACCAAAGAAAGCACAACTTGATCCCAGTCATCGTTATGACAAGCAGGGAACAAGGTCTTCCTTTTGAGGTCTCTGTGTCCTCCAGTTGCATGTAGTAATCTGAAATGTCTGCGGCATACCACATGAGGAAGGCGTAATCCAGATTCTGCTTGGTCCTCCACCATGTTCTCTTGGGGCTGTCACCAAACTTCAGCAGGACACCTGAAGGACACCAACAACTAGTCGAACCTCTGCTAATTTTGTTCTGCTGAGAAGGGCAAGGATGTTATGGGCAAGTTTGTGCAGCAGGCAGCAGGCTAGTCAACACCAGCAAGCTTGGCTGGTGTTTCCAGATCGTGGACGTCTCAACGAATCCAAGACGCCCTCTTGAACTGCCACATTCGAAATTTTCGCGTCTGCAGCTTGGACCCAGATTCCGTCCACCTGCTCCTCCCAACCTCTCACGCTTTCGTCCTCAGCTTCAGCAGCACCAGGGACGAGGCCACTACACAAACCAAAGTCCAAGCCCGCAAGGTCCCGCAAGAATCGATCCAACAACAAAACAGCATGCATGTAACATTAACCATTCTTGCTGCTATTGCTTTCCACCCCTCGTACTCCAAATAGACACTTTTTTGGGGGGGCTTTGTATTCTATCCGTCCTCTTAAATTAGAAGCCTCAGAATCGAGCATTTCCAGCTCCTCAGGTGCCCGGGCTTTGCCCTTGCAGTCACCTTAGAGGGGCAGGTGCCGGTTTCAGGGTGGTTACCGCATAATTCACATCTTCTGAGGCTGTTGCGAGGCCTCACATCTGATAGCACTATAGATTACTAGAAGGTATTTTGCGGTCTGAAGGTTTCACCGTATCGATGGGTCTCGGCCATCACAACAAGTCTTTCTGATCTTCAATGCTCACAAACCTTGGTTCTTTGACTCTAGAGGGTTAGGGCTTCAGAGGCCTTTGAATACACTTTGATAGAGTCAGTAAGAAGTTGGCTATGATCCAGCACGTTTGTGCTCTGCCTTTTACATGTAACATGATATAGGGTGAGATGATGTGGCCTTGCGAAGACTGCGGCTCCGTCATGCATAGAACTAATCCACACCTCGATAGACTTTGACTAGCCCATGTTTGCTTGTAACATACATGGCGGGGTGAATCTTCATCATTGCTAACATGCCAACAAATGACAAATTTGCCTGTGTGCAGACATGTTCAAAAACATTCCTAAGCCCATCTAAACCTTAAATCAACAGCTTGCTAACATTTGCTGAGATTTACAAACCGAGGCGCCGCTCGACATCCACTCCTCCCAGGCAAGCAGTACCCAGCGTCGGTGAACCACCGTAGTTGTGTGCGCACACCAGACAAGGACGTACCTGTGGGGAGAGCCGCGGTGCCAAGCATTGACATGCCGTGCATCTTCTCGAAACTAATGGAAAACAACTTGTTTGGTATCTTCCGAGGCAAGCGAGTGCTACTGCGAGGGTTCGCCAAGGTGCTGGCGACTAGCAGATGCATAGGACACCTGGTCCGTGGCTGTGAGGCGAGAGTACTTGCCATTCAGATCGGCATTCTGAAAACCCGACAGCTCGAAGGATTTAGATTCAGCTTGTCGCAAGGGATAGAGATCCCGCGGCGCATGTATCACATGCAGGTTGCCCTCCATGGCTTCCTTCGTAAATCCTTCATGTAGCTTGCCGGCCGTCTTCAAGACCCATTCTTCATCAAAGTCAGCCAAGTGGACAACGAGTGCAGTTGCCTCCTTCAAGACATTCATGACATTGAAGAACCTTGCCAACGTAATCTCCATGTAGGAGGCCTCACACAGGCGATATTTTCGATATTTCACACGGACCCATATGGGGTTCAGAGTCAATCTCTCATAATCAGCGCCTAACTGTAACTAGCGGATTGCCATCGGGAGAGGCATTGTTCAGGGTTTGCGACTTTGTTTGGGAGAGGTGTCCGGAATCTATGGGGACTGCTCTGGGCCTTGGGCCGCTTGATGGAAGCCATGCCAAACGTCAGCCAGCGCCGCGAGCGGCTCCGCTCGCTGCCGGGCGGATTCCCCTGCAAGCTGCGCCGCAGCCGTGAGATGTTCTTAGGAAAGGCCCGTGGACTGGACTTCCCCCCGCCCCCTCAGGAAAACGCTCTCTGTTAAAGGAATGGACAACTATAAGGAGGCTTGCAGGCACCATTCATCACGAAGCTCATGGCAGGACCCGCAGTGCGAGCCCAAAGAGAATCGAAGCCCTGCTTCATCAGTGCTCCGAATTTGCTTTGAACTACGCGACTAATCAATAACCAACTGGAACCCGTCTTGCCATCATGGGTGTCGGCCTCGCCAAGAGGTAGCAACCTCCTCAAAGCTCAGGCAGAGAAACTCAAAGCTCAGCAGCAAAGCAAGGCACTGCAAAGCACAGCGAAAACGCAGCGAAGCAGGTTCAGTTCTCGCCAAGGCGCAAGGAAGCGGGCGACAGCTTTTGCAAGGGGTTGGTGAGATCCTTCCACGCGCTGGCAGCCTGCGAAGACCCCGAAGCCCAAGGATCTCGGGTTTCAGTCTCAAAGTTTGGGGGTGGATCAAAGCGTTCCTGGATTCGGCTCTGGGATTTAGCATCCCATTAGGAGAAAAGGGCCACAAGCTCTTCCTGGCATGCAATTCGCATTGGTTGCAGTTTTGCATTCGCCCCTGAACCTGGCGCCTGCGGTTCTGCCACGCCACTGGGCCCTGGACATCCGCTGATGCCCGGGGCCAATCTCGGCAACTGCAGCGCAATCTGCGGCCTCCATTCGGGTCTGTTGTGCTTTTGCAACTCTCGTCTCTCCTCTCTCCTCGCTCGTCTCTCGTCTCTCTTCCCTTTTCCTTCTTCCCTCTCCACTCTTTCCTCTCCCTTCCTTCCTTCCTTCCTTCCATCGCTCATGGCCCCCCCCCCCCAAGGTGGGGGGGGGGGCTGTCCGCAGGCGAGCGGTCACCGAGAAGAGCCCCGATGGTCTGGGAAGCCACTCCGGAAATTCTATCCCCCCGTACTGCCACCAGCCGGCCAGTTCCCATTTGTCTGAACTTTGCCTGGACAGATCAGGATGAAGCGAAATGCTTACGAGGTCCGCCCTCCTCAACCAACAGAAGGATAACCACGGTTGCAAGAGAGAACAATGTACAGCGTACTGCATTGAGGGCAACTGAGCACTGCGAGCCCGATCGCTGGCAGCCTAGCGTTCGGGATGCCTCTCAAGTGGACGTCCTTCTCGCTGCGCGTGGGTTTCAGGATCCTGTTTGCGCTTCCCACCCGTGGGCCGTGTCAGGGATGAGGAGAAGTCGGCAGACGCGGTGCATATGCTCGAGTGCGTGTCGGTGGAGTAGGTGGCTCCAAGGCGGGCGCAAACAGCGGAGCGATGGTGGCTGCAAAGCTTGCTTTGCCATGAGTTTGCCGGAAGTCCAGACGAGGCAGGGGGCGCAGGAAAAACGTGATCGCCTGTGTCATGAGGGCCCCAAGTCTGCCGTCAGGGAGTGTACGCCGGCGCAGAGGGAAAACTGCCGGAAAACGTTTTCGCAACCCAAGCCTGCTACATGACGATCTCTGACATGAACGTTACCGAGCTGTCTGTGGGTGTGTGTGTGTGTGTGCTTCACTTTGTATCACCATCCCACGACTAATCTAGGACGTGGATGAAGCAATGCGCGCCCCTCAAAAGGCGCCAAACAAGCACGAACCGAGGGGGACGAGGTTTAAACGAGGTTTCTGTGAGGGACTCAGCTTGATGGAGCGGCGCGGAGGCTCGAGTTCCCGAGACTTGAGCCAAACTGGCCAATCTCTCTCTCGCTCTTTGGCTTTGCATCTCCTTCTCATTTCTCTTTTGCACGGTTGAGGCATTCAGACCTTACCAAGGTTCAAAAGCGACGACCGTTACGAGGATGGCGCTCCCCACCTCTGCGCTCTTGAGGTGCGAACTAACATACGAAGCTGAAAACGTAACGAAAGAGAGGAGGATGGCACGCCCCGGCCCCATATGCCTCATCCTGGTAACTGTCTGCACGCTTGAGGGCTCAACACCAAACCAAGCTTCAAAATGACGAGAGTTACGAAGATGACGCGCCCCGCGCCCCTCATCCTCGCGACGGTCCGCACTTCTAAGCCACGAACATCAGACCGAAGTCCAAAAGTGGCGACAGTCACGAGGATGGCGGTTTTGAGACATGGGCTTCCGCAACTACAGCTCCATACAGACACCAATGCCAGCCGAATGCCGAATAGAACAGACTTGTACTTGCCGTGTAACACACAGAGACATTGCGTTTATACACCTCCTTGCACTCAAAAGTACCGCGTGCTTTGAGCATCTTGAAATCCATGTCTTTAAGTGATGTGTGCTCCTAAATTTCTCAATAAGAAGTGACACCCAGCACCGCAAATCAGGGTCAGAAGAGACAACGAAACAATACAGCACATGCTGCATGTGCCTTTTGCATTTGTTGTTGAAATAAGGCCACTTGCTGACACTCGCTAATAACGCCAGCACCGACTCCAACATTGAAGCCCTGAGAATCGCGCAGATGTGGCTCTGCCAGAAGGAAGGGAAGGTGAAGCAGCGGCTGGCACCTCAAGACAACTTGAAGGGATTCAGGGGGGCCAGATGGGGTCTATGGCTCAGTGATGGAGGTAAGGGGGTCTGTGTGTATCGAAGGGGCAATGTGGCCTGCACGACCTGCTTTAGCTTGAATCGGGGCTTGTTTGGCGACTGAAGCAGCACTTTCAACGGTCTGTTTCACGTCCCAGGTCCGAAGGCACTCAAAAACCAACCCGAAGCCCAAATCTGCGCTTCCGAGAGGCCCCGTCAGGAACTGCTGCAACCATCGCTGCAAGACTGGGGGCTGCTGTAGCGGTCTTGGCACAGGCACTATAATCACTGTAAGGCCGTGAGGCCCTTATCCAAAGAAGTGCAAACACGATGAACCCAGACTTTAGCTTGGTCCGCGACAAGGAACTGAACAGGAGCACACTAGAAAACAGAGTCGAATATTCGAAGTAGTCGTTGCTGCAATGCAGGCTTAACAGCTGGCCCCAAAAACCATTGGACACGTAATAAACTCCAAGCCAGCACGTAACATAAGCTGCCCAATATCCGAGTAAACTCAGGGAAGTAGATCGCTCATCCGAGCTTCAAAAAGATCAGCGAACCAGTTTGGCACCCACCTTGACTATGTGAAAATGCACGTGCGTGCGAATGGCACACCGCAATGGCAGCCAAGCAACAGGTTTGCCAAGCAAGCCTGGCAGCAGGGGTTTGACTTGCTCATCTGGTTGGTTTGCGCAAAATCGGGAGTGCTACGGTAGGACAACCCAACTGAAGTTGGGTTATCTTGACTGTGGACAAGATACGTATAGGGTAGAGACTCCGGACGTGCGGGGCTTTCAAGGCTGCAGAAATCCGCCAAACTAGCGAGAATTCAGGGGTGAAAGCACACAATGGCGAAAAGGCAACAAAAATTGAGGATTTTCAAGGCCGCCAAACTAGGAACAATCCTATGTTTTGGCCTTAGATTTGGGATTTGTGAAAGCCCGAAAAAGGTTCAAATCACTAAATTGGCCATTTGGGGCCTTCCCAGGCCGCCAAACTAACAACAATCTACGCTCTTGCACTATATTGGGAGGTTTGTGAGAACCCAAAACGGTCAAAAATCACAAAAACACGGCGGAAGTCACTAGGTTTTGGTTCGAAATACAAAATGGACAAAAAATGCTTTGGAATATTCTGCCTTAGATTCAGAACCAGATGCTTTGGAATTTGCTTTGGAGTCCACGCTTTTGTGATTTGTTCTGGATTGTTGTTAAGGTTCACATTCAGAACCAAACATTTTTGAATTTGCTTTGGGGTCCACGCCTTTGTAATTTGTTTACGACTTTCTAAGGTTATAATTCAGAACCAGACGTTTTAGAGTTTGCCTTGGAGTCCATGCTTTTTTAACTTGTTTGGATTTGTTAAGGTTCAAACTCACAACAAGACGTTTTGGAACTTGCTTTGGAGTCCCCGCTTTTGCAATTTGTTTTTCAAATTTTAGGCTATGATTCAGAACCAGATGTTGTGGAATTTGCTTTGGAGTCATTTGGTTTAGCTTTTTTGGGGTCTAAACTCAGAACCAGACGTTTTGGAAATTGCTTTGGAATGCACGCTCTTTTGATTCTTAAATCGTTTTTTCGGTTCAAGTTCAGAACCGGAAGCTTTGGGTCCACAGATTTGTAAACTCGTAGCACTAGTTCTGGTTGCGCAACTCGTGCCTGCTGTTTGAAATTTGTACCCCCCGCAGGTTTTGCCCTTCTCCCGAAACTCTGGCACCGCAACCCCGCAAGCCTGACACAAGAACTTTCCTCGTTGCAGCTGCGAAGCTGCGCAAGCTGCTCTTGCTATGAAGCATCAGAAGCACTGACCCCGGCGCCTGATTCAGCAGCAAAGCGCACACCACCAATCCCGCGCACACTTGCTGAAACCTGCAAGCTCCATTGCTTCTGCTTCCAAAAATATGGGGCATGAGTCATTTTTCTTGCTGGGGATTGAGAAGGATGAGCGGTCGAGGGCAGGTCTAAAATGGGCCTCTGTTTTTGGCCTCACAGTATGAAGGGCTATTGAGTGTGTTTCAGGGGCCACTACAAGCAGCTCAAGTTGATTCGGGGACTGGTTCCTTCAACACGGGTGGCAAACCGACTGTTGCAGTCCTAATCCTCAGAGACCCAGACTGTCGGACCGTGACTCGTACAACAACACATGGCTCCCCCCACGATATCATCCGAATGATCGGGCCTGCCGCTGGCTTTGTGGCGGCCTTTAATCGGGCGTTCAACTCTGAATCTGTATTTACACTCGACTGCACACACCAAAGCGGGGGGCAGATGGGGCTCACGGTCCTGCAAAGTCACGTCCGAGTTCTGGAGGGCACGTCGTGGAGGACATGGACGGCGCCATGACTATCAGACGACACGAGTGTGTTTACCAAATCCTGCAAACCTGCACCCAATAAACCCTCAACACGGACGCTTATGCAGACCTAAACCCTAAACTGCAACTGAACAACTGGGAGGTGTCTCTGTCACTCTAGGCAAAGGTGTAGTGTGAGGGCTGCGAAGGCCCAAGGCTTTGACTTTGCCACGGATAAGGTTCAGTCCTGAAGCGGCATTTGCTAAAACAGCCTCGCCATGTATGCTAAGCTGGGGCCACAATGCGCCTGTATACAAGATGCATATGGCCCCGCCACCATGCAATGAAGTGCTACTCCAAAGTTTCCACATCAATGCGGGAAGAGCTGTTCCACAACTCACATTTCTAGACTCCCATCCCGCATTGTGCTTCAATAACTCCTCCACAAGCTACGTGCTTGGCACTGATACTCCAAGAGTGCTTACGCATCAAAAACTCAAAACCAGGAATCTGCTCTTCCATTCCCCGGAACTTGGAATTACAGCATGCTTGTTCCATTTATTCTGGTAGCTGCGTTTCCAAACACCCCCCCCCCCCCTCCCCCCGCTCCCCCCCACCCACCCACCCACTCACCCACCCACCCACCCACCCACCCACCCAGCCACACACATGGAATAGTGGAACGATGGAATGAGTATTCCAACTTGCACGGGATAAACGTTAGAATGCTTGTCCCTGAAATAAATTGTAAGAATCGCAGAGTGCAATGGGATCTTTGCAATGTTTTGGAGTAATGGGAAATTTGAATACTAGTGTCGACTAGTGTACGGATGTTTTTTGGCATAACGGATAAAGGGCTACATATTCCAACATGCGCAGGAAACTTTGGAATCAGATTCTGAGATGTTTGAAATGCTGAAACAAAAGTATTCGTTGTAATTATTTGGGATAACAGTTGCGCGGATGAGTTCATAGGATTCTGAAGGGGAGTAGCCAGAATGAGGAAGAGCCCTATGTACCAACATGAACTTGAGGTGTCGTACAGGGTCCTTGCGTTCTCCGGTTGCCAAGCTGCTGTGCAAACTTGAGGAGTATGGCACACCACTGTACGCTGTACTGTTGTGGATTTCTGGGTGTGTGAAGTTCTCAACTATGGAACCTTAAGGATCTATGTTTAATGCGCCCTACGATCTCTGGGACGACGATGTGGAGTTCTTCAATCTGCATCTTCGGACATGATTGCGTAGAGCCGGGTACGAATAGATACTGAGGGCAAAGGGTACTCTGAAATGCCGAAAGCTACAGCCTTGCCCTGCGTCCGCGGCTTAAGCCGGCCTAGCTCTTTACCCTCGGGGCATTTTTTCTTAGACATTCTGAAACCAAGCGGTGAGCTCGTCGCGGGCTGTGACATCGGCGTGGGAGATGTTGTGCTGCTGCAGCAGTTCTTCTGTGCCGAGCGGCTTTAGGACCAGGCGACTGCAGGGACATGCAAGCAGCAGTAATTCCAACTCTTCCACATCCCAATGTGCTGCGTTGTAAACAGCAAGTGTGGACTGCCCCGTTTGCAGCCAATCCCAGATCAACAGTTGTGTCCGAAATAGCAGCTTGCTGTTCACAACCTCATCCTTGGTGTGAACAAATGGCTTGAGTCGGCTGACGCCATCTTGAGGCATCGGATCCTTCAAGCCCTCCTCACCCCATGACATCGTCCGGTAGACGGACTTCAGGGCCTTCAGTAGCTCGGACACGGCACCATCAAAGCCACTGCGCACTCGGGAACCCGATTGTCGAACAAGTTGATCAAGGTGCTGGAGTTCGGCACTTTGGGGGTCCATCGCTGTAAAGAGAAACTGCCGTTGACAGAGGGCTCCTTGGCAGCTTGGGCACCACGACTTCGCCGACTTCGCCTTCGCGATCTGCATCTCTTCTGACGCCACAAGCGTCACCACAAGGCAGTACAGTGGCAAAGTGCAAAAACGCATGGTGCAAATGGTGCAAACGGACGACAGCAACGACAGACACACTGGCTTCGTGTTACATGATCGCACGTTAGAGACTCCACCGACTTTCCTAGCTTGACGCATATGCATGCGGTGTCAGTGCACTAGATTGCACTAGTCACTAGCCTTGAGCCTTTGCTTCTGCCCGGCCCGATGCGGTTGCTATAGCGAGCTTTCCTCAAGCAGGGACAGCTGCACCTCTCCTTGTCTGCCTTTTTCAAGCTGCTAGATTCGTGCTTTTTTTGGGGCCCCTGTGGCATGTTCTAGGCGACTGACTCTATACAATGTGCCAGTGGGCAAGCTCAACAATGGACTCAACTGCAGCGTGAGGTTATGTACGCTGCGAGGTTCCAAACTGTACTGCGCATGGCAGAGGTGAGGCTCACAGAAACCTCCGACATGCCATTAGAGAGAGAAGGAATAGGGTCAGGATGAGGAGCCTAAGCCCAACACGCCCTGAAACATCCTGCATCTACAGTGAAGTTCTTGATGAGGCGCGGCTCCCCATCCAGGTTTCGCCTTGAATTAAACACTTTTTGGCCGCAGCCGGACTCGAGGAGTCAGGGCATCCAGGAAGGGTGCTTGACCGGTGGCGAACCGTTCTCGAGCTGAGGCTACTTCTTTTACATCGCCAGGGGAAGCCTGCGGACTTCACAGTACTTCAAGCCCCTTGAGGGCCATCTTACCGGCCGCAGACATTGAGACATCTTGAAGAGCGCTCGGCAAGGAAGAAGGCCAGCTTCTCAAGCACTGCACCCTTAAGTGGTCTGACAAGTTCCGCCCCGGCATCAGTCTAGAAAGCGCTCTTCTTCTCCTGCGGCTTCGGACTGTTGCTTTAGGGCTTCCAAGCCCCTTTGTGCGTCCTGGCCCCCCTTTTGCGAAACGGTTTGAGAAGTCGACGCCCTCTTTTCAGGGCATTCACATGTCGGGCTATTTGTCATGAACGGAAGGATGCCTTACATTCCAGGCCTCAGGTCCAACGAATCTGTTGAGGTCAGATGCGTTCAGATGGGTTCAGGTGAAAACAGATTCGGCGGGGGAAGCGGAAACAAGGCTTTTAGCCTCTGCAGAAACTGGCCATGGCCTGGCAAGGCTTGAACAAGAAACGCCCCGCCTTGCTTTCTGTGCACTCTAAGCACATCGCGCCGAGGACTCTGACTCAGCATAAGTGCCATTTGCATTCGAATGCGTGATGTTGGTGAAGCGACATTCAGCCCCAAGCCAGTGTGCCAAGCGGTTGAAGGAACTCAAGGTGAAATTCTCCAGCGGAAGCTCCAGGAAGGGCAACTCCGTCTCTTCGAGTAACTGCCTGCGCTGCTCAGTTTTTAATTGGGCGGCAAGAAAACCATAGTCTCTGCGGCAAAAATACATAGAGTATTGGGAACAATGGCAATGAGAATACTTTTAGTACAGGTATTGATGGCACTCATGGTATAGGAATGGCAATTTTCAAAATCAAGGTAGTGATGGTAAGCGTGGAAATAGTGAATCGCTGTAACGATGCTAATGATGCTGAACCGGAATCTGATAGTGATGTGAGAACCTGATAGTGAGAATGATAGATGCGGATGGTCTCAGATGGCACTTGAAAGCCAACTGGTGAATTCACTGCGCCTGCCATAGCTTTCTCCACTTCTGCACCCTTCCAATCTATGACGCTTTGCTTCGGAGCGGAGGATATTTTCCAGGCAGAACGAGGCACACTCAAGGAACAAGACGACAAGCCTGACGACCCATCATGACCCCTCTTCCGCAGCCAGATGCCGAACCCTGAACCCGTTGAACTGCGCGGCGAAGGCCTCATCTGCTGCGTGAAGATGGAAAGAGACTCCGGTGAAGCGTTCCTCGTCCTGGCAGTTTCTTGGAGATGCACGTCTCAAGTGCTGCTCCAGGGCAGGGCTTTGTAACCGTGATTTAAGAAGTTCTTCCAAATGCCGCCGCGTTAACTTGTAGAAGGCAGACTGGCTCTGGGCATCCTTGTCCAGTCGGTAGTTGAAGATGAACCGGCTGCAGGGGCATGTTCTCCGCACAAACTGAAAGGCAGTGGCGTCCCAGCGGATCTCCTACTGGTTCTCTCACCGAGAGGAGCAGATCAAACCCTAAACCCTAAACCCTTCCCCCAACTTGTTTACCCAGTACGCCATGTGCTTCAAAACCCTGCTAGGTTGGGAGCTCTATGACGCCCATCATTTGGAATGCTTCTTATCCCACGACCCGGCCCCCGTGGACATGCACTCGACAGCATGCAAATCGTCATTGGCGGCAGCTGCGACTGCACCTAACTGGATACCCCTGCATTCAATTTCCCCTCCCCCATCCCCACTCCGCCCCCCTCCCCGCCCCCAGCACAGTAGAAGCGATCCTTGAACCCCCGAATGGAAACACTTTGCTTCCAGTCGTTGAGGAAGCTGGGTGGTGTGAGGAAGTCCCAGAGCCAGTCTTGTGAGTGCAGGAGCAGCCGCTCAGCCAGAAGTGGCGCATCATGCCCCTGAGCAGCCAAGGTGCTGAAGAAACGCTCCTGCATCTGACCCAAGTGACGAAGAGCACCGTAGTTCTCACCATACAGGAAGACGCCGTCAATGAGACTTACCATGTTCATCAGGGAGGTAGAGCCGCTGCGCCCCGTTGCAACGATGAACAAAAACTTCCGTTTGCACAGGGGGCCCTCGCACTGCGGGCAGAATCTATTCAAAGTCTTCACATTCGCTTGGCCCACTGGGGAACCGCCAGGGGGGCCAGAAGGAGTGCTCCTCCTCGAAGCCGACTCCAGTATCGCGCAGCCAAACTGCAGGCGCATCCCAGACAGAATCAACAAGAGGCATATAAGCATCAGGCATGGTACCAATAGCAAGGATGACCAGGTACCATGCATGACGTGCTGCAGAACACGGGCACGGACCTTATTGTGAGGTTGGCGGGGCAGCACTGAACTGCCAAACGTTGAAGGCAACCACGCTTGATAGGGTCTGTTGGCAAGTTAACGTCCGGCAGTGATCGTATGCTAGAGTCAGATGACGGAATGTTGGGGATGCATATGACGCCCAATGAAGCGACATACATCCCAAGTTCTTCGTGCCACATGCAAGTATGCATGCCTTGTATACATGTGCTTGCATTTGGCTGGGGGTCATTACCTTTAGCCTGGCACATGAGTCACTAAGCACAGAGGCTGCGGCATAGCATCTGGAACACGCCAGTAATTGCGCGGCTTTCGGGCCCTCGGGTGCTGAGCTAATTTATCTGGGATCCTGGCGCAGACCGTGGAAACCCTTGTAAGGTAAGCCCGGACCCATGCAATTGGTGCTTTCCTTTGGGGAAAGCAGCAACTGCCCTGATCACGGAGATGAAGTGGTGTTGATACAAAGGTGAAGTTGTAAACCGGCACTGGATTTCTCTGTTGTTTAAACCTCAAAGTGAAGGTTACTGCGTGACCAAGAGGAATTTCAGTTGCAAGGCATGAAGGTTTGAAAGTTCCCAGCACCCCTGGACCAAGCCAACTAACCAAACGAGCGGGGGGCTGCGAGAGGAGGGCCATGCCAAACCTAGAAACCGGATAAAGTTCAAAGGCTTCAAAGGGTGGAATGCAAACATTCCATATGAAAGTGGCGGAGCAAAGCATCCAACAGCGGAACAGACAAGCGTAGTCACAACGAAACGCGCAAGCGCCCCTCTTTTTCCTAGTGAACATACCCCAATTGTTCTCTCTCTCTCTCTCTCTCTTCTTCTTCTTCTTCTTCTTCTTCTTCTTCTTCTGCTTCTTCTTCTTCTTCTTCTTCTCCTGCTGGGCATAGGGGAGCCCCCCCCGCACTCTCTCTCTCTCTGGCTCTCTCTCTGTCTCTTTCTGCCTCTCTCTCTCTTCTTCTTCTTCTTCTTCTTCTTCTTCTACGTGGCTTGAGAGGAGTGACCCCCCCCCCCCCGCGCACGAAGCGCGGCCTGAGTGCGTCCTGGGTCCATGTGATACTGCAGCGCGGGGACTGTGAACATGAAACACTCCGGTAGATTAGCCTATCAACCATCAGATGTTCCGCTTTGCCCCTCTCTCTCTCTCTCTCTTTGCGCACAAAAAGCGTGCTAGGCCCTTAAACCCTGTGATGTCCAGCCTTGGCCCGAAACTGCAGTAGAACTGCACAAGAGTTTCGAAAGCGCCTTGCCGAACTGCTCATCGCTATGCGACTGAAGTGCAATGAGACTTTTGACTGGAGGAAAAAACTCTAAGTCCCTATGGAAGCTTAGAACCTGGAAAGCGGGAGCATATGTCGTCCGTGTCGTTCTTTTCTCTCGGGGCATGGACCTTGCCGCGCAGCAACCCCGCAGAGTGGTGCAGCTGGCGGTCGTTTCTCAAGGTGAGAGGGAGGCATGCCTGCCAAACCTGGAAACCGGCTAAAGTCCAAAGACTTCAAAGGGTGGAATGCAAACATTCCATATGAAAGTGGCGAAGCAAGGCATCCAACATCGGAACAGATAAGTGTAGTCACAACGAAACGCGCAGCGCCGTGTTATTGATCTAGTGAAGCGGGGCAGGTACAGGCGGTATGTCCCGCGATAGAAACAAAGGCCTCATCGCCGGGTGAAGGCTTGTTGCAAAACGAAAAGGACGCTATGGGCTATGTGCTCGCATTCGCATCTGGTCAGATCCTGTCTGATGCAAAGGCTCATGGCTCCTGCTCCCTTGAAGCGCAGGACCACTCCCCTAACAGTCACATTCACGCTATTCGCCAAACTAGTAAGCACGCATGGCAAGAAAGAAACGATGCCCTGGGAGAACTTTCACTCATGTTCAACATCGACGCAGACTGGAACTGAACTGACCTTCTGAAAGCTGGAGCCACGGCCAAAGTCCCTGATTGGCGTCCGACGTGACAGCCCTTGTCAGTGACTTGTCAGCACGTGTACTTCGAAACTGGGAAAACTGCTTCTCATCTGTATCTGGAGCAGCATCCCGGATCGTGAAGCAAGGGCTCCTCCTCCCTTGAAGCGCGGGACCACTCCCCTAAACGGCTTTAGGCTGAAGCTAGGTGCTAGCGACTCATGGCAAGAATTCAGGCATCTGTCGTCACGAACAACAAAACGCAGCCCCGGCATGAACTTTCGCTTCCGAAGCTGTGGTCAGCCTCGGAAGTAAGTGAACTTTGAAAGCTGGAGCCACAGCCAAAGTCCCTGATGAAGGCTGCCGATGTGACAGCCCTTGTCAGCGACTTGTCAGCATGCAACTTCATAAAAGAAAGAGGCAAAGTGGGAAAAAGCTGCCAAGCTTGCCAGCTTGCCGTCATATAAGGTGCTCAGCCCCCACTTGGCTACTGGAAGTGGCTGACCTGTTGAGGTGTTACTCCGCTCTATGAAAGCTGGAGCCACCCTTTCAAGGCTGGAGCACAGGCCAAAGTCCCTGATGAAGGGGGCAGCATGCAGCTTAACATGACAAAGGGTCGCGTGGGGAAAGCTGCTAGCAGTTCCAGGCTCAAGCTTGCCAGTGTGCCTTACCGTGCTCAGCACACACTTGGCTACTTGGGATAACTGAATTGGCTGTTGAGCGTTGCTCGGCTGCTCTATAGTCGTAGCTGCGGCATTTTGCGCGTCCGCGTGGCTACGTGTCGATGGAGTCTACAGACCTCTGACTGTTCGGAGCTTGCAGAGAGTCCTAGCTTCGGTGCTCAGCTTTTGGCGACGCCACAGGAAGATGCATCGAAGCGAAGACCCGACTACTGTTTCTTCCTTCTGCTGGGGGCAAAGCCACTGGGCCCATTGTATATGCCCCAACCTACAGCCTCTAGTACAGGAATGCAAAACACAAATTGAGAGCACAAAATTCGTAGATGATAGCAGAAAGTGAAGAGAAAGGTTGCATCGGAATGACCGAAAGGGTCAAATCGAACCCAGGTCCGATCGGGCCACTGGACCCGCAAGGCTATACCCTATCAACATTATCGAGCTTGCAGCAGGGCCGTTTCGAGACTTTCATCCGGGAACCCTCTTTCAGCCATTGAGCTGATCTTTACCTTGCGTGGAACTCCTCCAGTGAAAAAAGAAGTGACCTGAGGGATCCCGCAAGTATCCCGCCACTGCTGCACTCAGAGTCAGGACTAAGGCGGACACAGAGACACAGAGCGGGCGACCGCAACAGTTCAAGACTTACTGTAGTTTTTTCCCACAACTTCTCGTATACTGCGGTCAAGTTCAGCCTTGAGGTACTGGATGGTGCGGGAAAGCAATCGTGAAGAAACCACAAACGGGATGTAACAGGCTTGAAGCCCAATTCTTGGCTCCTCTGGGCTAATTTCTGCTCAAGCAGGTTTGAGTTGCAATTGGGAAGACCTGGGAAGCTCGAGCGCTTCCGCCTTATGGTGGATCCCCAAGAATTCGTTCTAACTTTCATTATACTGCTGGGTTAGCCGCAGTTCGCTCATCGGACCTTTGATGCATCTCTTCGGGCTCAGGGCGGTAAGGGGTCGCACAGTCAAGCTCTGGGGCGCCTCGTCTGCACTGGCACTTTCACTATGCCACTACATGCCACTACGCGTGACGTCGAGGCTTGGCCAGCTTCCGCGTGGGATCTGGGAAGCGTGAACACCGGCCGTCGTCAAACAAGTGAGGCTTGGCCTTCACTGGTACGGAGGGATGCATTGCCGAGGAGTTTCGGTACTTCTGAATGAGTGCATCCAGGCCTTGAACTTTGGTGGCCCAGCGTACTGTAAGGCACTCCGACTCTCCTTCAAATTGCATGCCATCAAGTATGCCCCAAAGCTCCAAGGCCGCCTCCGGCGTAACGGCGTTCAAAAAAACCTCGCCGAAAGAGGTGTCGCTCCTCCAATGAAGGGGCATGTACGCGAAGTTTACAACCGGACTCAGTCCCAGCACCTCGGTCATGGTATGTCGTGGCGTAAGGCGCGCAGGAGGTACTTAAGGAATCACAAGGAGTCAGGAGGAGCCACTCCCCAGTCCCTTACACTTAGTCGGTCACCTGAAGCAGATCCATCACGTCGAAGACATTGCTTGAAGGCCCCCAGCCAAAGACGCACATGGTGGTGCGGCCAGCCCTCGGCCACTCGCAGGCCAGGAGGGTCTGGAATCAAATCGGTTGCAGCTGCATTTACATGCTCTCCTGTGCTCACACTCACCGATGCCACTAAGTCAGATGAACGCTTCACGCGGCAACGATCAAGCTGGGTAAGGCTTCAGCTGAGGCTTGCCGGGCGCAGTGTCCTGTGCACGGCACGATCTCCATTAGAAGACGTACTGCAATCCCTTCTGACCTCTGGTTTCTGACATGGCTGCTCCTTGATGTAGTAGTTAGTAGTTTATTCGCCAGCAAGACAAGCCTACGCCCTTCTATGTTCACTGTTTAGGGCCAAGGCCTGCGTAGCACTCAGGGCTGTTTTGGAAACGGTAAGGTGCTTCCGATGTTGGAGAAATCCAGCACGACTGCATGTCGTACAAGATCAAAACAACTCTCTATGTCTATATGTATATTAGGCTGTGAGTCTAAACATGGGTATGTCGCGGTGTCCCACCGCCCGCCTCTGTTACATACGTTTGTCGGGCGAGGTTGTGTCATACGTGTGTCACGAGCTTGTCGCGGGCTCCCGAATTCGCAAGGTGGTGGCTTGTCGCTGAAG